TTCTTGTTGTTGTTGTTGTTGTTATTTGTTGTTGTTTGTTGTTGTTGTCTGAAAGCGAAGGAACCTTGCAAAGGAAGGAGGCCCCAGGAGATGTGTTGGATCTTGTTTGTTGGGCAGTTAATTGCTTCACTTTCAAGGAGGAAGTAGCTTTGTTATGTATGTATGCGGGTGAGTCAATGACTCTGGTGTTATGCAGTTTCCGTGCCGAGATAAAGACTGCTCAGGCGAATCGGAACGGATTCGGTGGTTGCCTGCCAAATTTCGTCGGCCGAGAGTCTGGATCTACCAACCCTCAATACGAACGAGCCAATCACAGCGAAGGCTGTGAGAGCGTGGTTTAGGCTGCGTCGTCTGAGCTTGGCAGAAAATAGAGGACGGTAAGAAGCATTTTACCCAGATATGTTTTATATAGAAGCGAGAACTTAAGTTTACCAAGAACAAGTCAGAGGGAGAGAACGGGGCATCTCTAGAATTTTTAAATAGAGGAAATAGGAGAGAGAGACACAGAGTGGGATGTGGATTATTATTATTATTATTATTATTATTATTATTTGTACTTTTTTAGACCATAAAAGGAATCAGGGAAAGACATAGACAACCAGCCCGGAAACATCAAGCTATCTTTATGCAAAATAATTCCATGGGAAAAAATGGAGCCTAGTCTCGAGACCGTGAAGAGCCGCAGTGGTTACAAAGCAAAATGGCGGTGATACGGGGCCTTAAACGCCGTTGACCGTTGCACTGACACATTACAGGGGTAACTAAGTTACGAAAAGAACATATTTTACCTGTTATTTACTGCTTAGGTTTAATTACTAATAACTAATAATATTTCTAACGTTAATCTTTGGTAGTTCATTTTTCATAATTGACCTAATTAGTTGACTGAGTTAACTCGTTCTTGGCTTCCAGGCTTCAAAGCGACTTTTTATTTAACCTCAGTGGGGTCATTGACCCACTGTGGTGGCCCTGTGAGGCATGCAGTGGCTTTCGCAGCTGGGGCTGGTTGGGCTGTGACCGCTGCTGGTTGACCAAGGTCATTGGTAACTAATTAAGGTAGGTAGTTATATTTAACTATTTTGTAGCAAAATAATTACAATCTCTTGTGTTCTTCCATTCACCGCTATTTCTGTTCACTGGTGTATTTCAGCATTTGAATAAAAATTCTCAAAAGGTTAGTAAACAATTATTTGAATAGTTATTCTTTTTATATATTCGCCCGCTCCTCGACTCCTCTCGGATCTCACCACGCTCCCGTCTCCGCATCGATCAATAATCGATAAATACACAACCCACCAACAACTGCCCGGAAAGGAACTGTCATTATTCATAGTTCAATTTTCTCTTCGAGGTGTTGCTGGTCTAGCCGAACAGAAAGTCTCTTTCCATCCTCCTTGCATGACCAGTAGGGATATGGTTGGTAATGTAGATATTTGAGGTCCAGAGTAAAATACCGGGATCCTGATTGCCTATTACCTATCTCCGGAGCACATGGTACAAGATACCCGAGAGCTGACAAACCGAGATCAGAGATAAGATGCAGCATTATTCAGCCAACAAAGGCTAATGACGACATCCCATAGCGACCGACCATTGGTGCCTACAGAGAACTGATGCTTATTTGCCTCAGTTATGGCGACTGATAACCTTACGTAATGGTATTGTTGCGCTTGATGCTCTTAATGATCTCCATTATTGTTAACTATTAACTAACTGGTTATCCCATTGATTAATGCGAAATGTTCGCGGTTCTTGCAGAAATGATTTGCGCCGTGGTCAAGCGCAAGCATTTTCTTCATCTGAGCAAAATCACAGTTAACTTGCTAAGCCCCTGCATATTACTTAATATTGAGTCATGTAGTTAGTTAAACTAACTTATCATCAGACATTCTTATAGGAACTGTCGACTGCTTTGGTAATCAATGATTGAAACTAACTTCCTTCTCTGATATCATGCTGGAAGAGAATTCCCTCAAAACTTATCAATGACTCTTACTCTATACGAGTCTCGCAACTTTCTACCCTTATCCCATGGGACGGAGCACTGCTGTCTAGGAATATGCATACATGGGAAGTCAGTCCTCTTTTAGGAGTGAGTACTGGACATTACAATGTTAACGAAGAGCCAGGGATGAAATTCTGCCACATCAGCCTTCCGGGGATGGAGGGTTTAGTTAAACCATGCCGCTGGAAGCCCGCGGTCACGAATTTCCTCGGACTACCATCAACGAATGACGAATACGACAGATATATGATTCTGAAATAGAGCCTGAGGATACGGTGAGAAGAGGCGTTTTGTAATGTAATTACTCAAAAACCCTAGGACAGCAGAATTATGAGTTTCCATGTCAACTTGTAACCAAGAATAACTTCTTGGAGCAATAAACACTTGGGACCACTGTACCCACTGTCTGAAATTGCATGAATACCCGAATGAGGGCATATCGGGACCCGAGTATGGGCTTGGGCACGAGCAAATCCACTTTGTTGAGTTGTAGGGAAGGAAAATGGTTTAGGAATTTTAAAAACTGATGATCCAGATAGGTGTTCGGAAGTTTATATATGTGATAATCCTGACTTCATTATTATCTGTAGTTAAAAAGAGTGATTAACATATATTTGCTGCAAGAAGAAGAGTATCCACCAAGGTACCTAGGTACAGTCATACCAGTGATTTCTCATTCGCAAGCTTTCATGGCAATGATCATCTAGCTAACTAGTTAAACTATTCAGGCCGACAATTACGTAGTTTAACAACATTGACAACCAAGGGATAACTAACTGGTCAACTAACTATTATAGAAATATGTAAAAGCTTACAAGTCATCATGACACTCTTGAAGTGTGATATTTTGTGGGATAGTGTAAAAGCTCATGCATGCCTAGAATTCTGTTTGTTTGGGACTATGGAAAATGGGAGCCGGGAGATCCATGAGATGATATTCTCGTCCTTCTTGATTTATCGGGAGGGGTTTACATTCTTAAAGCCAGCGTTTGCCCAAATTACGAGGCACAAAACAACACCATATCCTTTATATCAGTGATTTGAAGGGTTGCCAGTATGGTTCCGTATTAATTTCCTCTCTAGGAAACATGTCGAAGGATCGGAAGTCTAATGCAGATCCGGGGAAACATCCAGTAGTTACAGGGGTGAGATCGCATGATGCCTTGATTAGTTATACATACATTCAGCCAAAAGATGTTTGTTATCTTGTGTAGAATCCTATACTGTATTTCGTGAATCATACCATACCCGTGGCATCATGATCTGTTCTGTATTTTTAACTGACAGCGGCAATAATCATCATGATTCAAGGGGCCAGAGGGCCAGAGCGGTGAAGGTAAGCATGGCTGCCACGAGGTAGCCATGAAATTCTCTTGTCAAATTATCTCCTGGAGTACATAGTCGAAAGAGAAAAATTATGTTAACGAATAAATTACCAGTCTTCCTTAGATACACCATAGTGGAAACGGCTGGTAAGTTTTAGTTTAGTTAGCGGGCTTGGTGGACTTCGAACAGAGTTCTGAGCATGAGAAAGAGAAAAAAAAATCCTTTATGGAAAATTCCACATTCTTAAAACAGATACCCTAGCTGTCAAAACCAAATAATTTTGGAGTGTGGAGATTGAATATTAACTCATCAGGATTTTCAGCCCGCCTTTTTCTATTATTATCAATTGTTGGTTCCTTGTGTGCAGTGGCCTGTTGAAACCAAAGCCTTGCGAGAGTGATATTTGGTACAGCGCCATGACTTATGACAGTAACTACAGCATAGGACCAGCTTGGCTGAAATACAAATTTGGGGACGAGGATTAAACACGCCCTTCATCAACAAATTGGTGCAGGCTCAATCGTTCGAATTCCCCAACCTGAGAGAATTAGCATTTTCTTCTTCCATGGTCCGTATTTCTATTTTGCCTGTTCTGTATGTTTTTTTTTTTCGCTCAATTGTACAAGAACTGTCATTCCTTTCAGTCCAGACTCCGGCGCAACCTTGGAAATCAACAGCTCAGCCCAATGGGGTAGGAAACAGCCAACCAATAAGGAGCTAATCTGATTGCACCAAAGGGATCTGACACACATATTGACTTGCACAGGCATTTCAGCTCTTCTGGGGTTTGAGGTTCCAAAACCTTCCCCGGGGCTGAAAACAATGGTGAATTGCGATATTCTTCTTCAAAGCATTGCAGAAAGTAGGACTGACGATAACATTGTGGAGAATTCTATTTAAAATTTTGGTTTCATCAACGTTACCATTGCTCTTTTTGAATAAAATTTCTCAGCTGCGACTGGGCTGGATGCATCAGGAGTATATTGATAGGCCGGGGCAGTTTGAAAACGGTATGTCAAGCCATTTTCGGATAGAGATAATTACAATGATCCTGCATAATAAAAGAATCCCTCGTTTCGAGCTCTAGACAATGAAAGGGAGGAATATGGTTCACAAAAAGGTCCAGGGTTCCCACGTTGCCGTTGTTTTTCCCTGGGAATTAAGGGAGAGGGAGGGTAATTAAGGGAAGAGGAGGGGAGGGAGGCCGGGGGAGGCGGGAAGAGAATGAGAGGGCGGGGAGGAGATCCGTACGTGTATGTCCTTGTTCGGAAACTTGGGGTCTTTGCTCCCGTTTCACACCCGGTGTCTATTCATGCCCAACAAGTTGCCGCTGGCTCATCAAAAGCATTAATCTCATGAAGGATAACATTGTTGTTGTTGAACCATAAATCTAAACTATATAACTATAATGGAAGAGGCACTATTTAGGGTAGCCGCAGCAGTATCCACTGACTAACACATTCTGCCTTTAGTTACGACGAAAGCTGGGTCGTAATAAGAGCTACCAATCCACAGCGGGTCTGGAAGTTAAAAAGAGCCACATAATCCTTTCAAGTGAATTTAACTGACAAAACGCAGTGTTTCATGCAGAGAGTATGGAGGAATGTTCACCACATAGTACATAATAATACAAAACCCCATAGCTGCTCGACTTTTTCCAATCCAACGTTCATGGCTCAGAAAGTGGCAGAGTGAACAAGAACCGCACAACTGCAACATCTCTATCCACTTGCTCCGCAGCTCCGCCGCTATGCGGTGTTTTTGGGCCACTCGCTTCCCCTCTGTGGATCTCCTTGCCGTGACTCCATTTTTTTCCGCGACTGGGAGGCCGAGGCCACCGCGGCTGAAGAGTGGTATTTAATATAAAGGAAGACTTTCGTGAATTTTTGCTGCTGAAGATTTGCAGTTGTTTTGCCTCGTGCCTAGTTGCCAGGATCGAAACGAAGACCAATGCACGGTAATATACTGTATCGATAAAAGTACTTGTATTGTAAGATTACTTACATCTTATCAGATCGGATCGGATCTGATAATAACTATGGTCCATCATTCTGTTGACTCGCCAACCCACGGGAGACTTTCCCCCCCAACAAAGACCCTTGCTCCTAACATAACCTTCTGCATCGGCTGAACGGGTTGGCCACATTCCACACAGCCAGGGTCTGCAAAGGGATGACTCGGAACTATCCGTATCCGTATTTATCACTTTTGTTTCTGCGCACAAAGGTCATGCATGACAAGGGATCCCTTCCCCAAGGATAATTTTGCTGCCTGGTTGCATTTACGCAAATAATCAGGTGATCAGTTGAATCTTCCGGCTCGGGTGTCGGATAGTTCGTACCTCCGCGATTTGCAGAGTAGCTCGCTAAGATGTCAGCGGCTACGCACGGGGTTGACGTTGACAGCACAAGGAAAATCCATCACTGGCCCCTACGTTACATGTCTGATGTATGAAATTGTGCGGGTGCATGTACATGGATACTGATGTTGATAACCTCGGCTTGAGCCATGTTGATAATACTAATGAGTGAGAGTGAGATAGGGCCAACTTCTATCAGCTATTAACCAGTATCCGCGCCTGTCACAACTGGACAGGCTTCTTCCCAGCAATTGTTTTTTAAACTTATTATACCTGAATGCAAGAGACAACCTCCCTTCTGACCTGGTTTTCTTTATTTTTATTTTCTCATTTCGTCTTGGAGTTTGACTATCACAAAGTCTTTGACTCTGAGCATACCAAACCAATCATCCGTTAGAACTGTTATCAATCCCACAGAATAACAGTATAACTAATGTTACTTCCTCGCAGTTTGAACCCTATCATTTGCACTTCTGGTTCCTACAGATATTATACGCTCTTACATCAAGTTCCCCGGAGTAGACGGGTGTATCCTGCTCTTCTGTTTTTCTAGAGAAATGCAAAAAAAAAAAAAAAAAAAAAAAACCCAGAACATATGCTATCCCTGTTCAGATCTCCAGCATTAACACTTACCCCCAGAAAGAGTGGCGGCAGTGTAGCGGAACGGGGAGAAGAGCGAATGGATTCGAACTCCTATTTATTGAGCTTGTCCTGCTCCGTGAGTGGCAGGCTTCTTAGAGAAAAGGGAGCAATAGCCTCGCAGGAGGTAGGAGAAGAGAAGGTCTGGAGGTGTTCTTTGGGTTTTGTTTCACAGATGCGCGTCGGGATGGCGCTGGACCCTTTTCCAGTTTCTGATACTTGGATGCTGTAGAAATAACTGATATGGACAGAGAGACTTTGCGGGCAGATGACCTGACACTAATACTGGGGAACCTGCATTTCTTCCGAGACAGAAGTCATGAATGGATTGTGCTTTAGAATGACGGCCACTATGATCGAATTGGGGTTTTGTTCCCAAGTCCCTAGGACAATTAGTGGAACGTGCCCGTCAGGTCCGGAATATTAAATGCTACACACGGGGTGTCTTTACGCGGTCGAATGTAATCGGCACGTACAGAACACCGGTGTTTAAATACAATAATCCATTATACCCAACCCACGACACTAGCATTGGTAAAATTCGTATACAGAGACGGCTGGCGCGCGAAATTGATACAACCAGCTGCGTATAACTGTCTATACATATATGCAGTGTGCATGTACATGTTGCAATGCTATGCCTTACCCAGCGCCCTTTACTCCAGGCACAGAAGCACTCAACGAAAAGACTAGACCCTTCACCCCAACCGCAACGTAAACCCCGCCCCCGTCCCCGCCCCGGGCCCTGCCTCCCCTCCAGTCCCATCCCCATCCCACCCTCCAAAGACATTCGCAAAATCCAACCGCGGCGCCTCTTGCCCCCTCTTCGGTGCCTCAGGCGTCTCCCGCCTCCTCCTCTTCTCCATCCCGGCCCTAGAAGGGAATGTCGGGAACATCTCCTTTGCTTTAGGCTTGGGATCTTCGCGGAAATAAGGGTGTGATAGACATGTTGATGCGTCCGGGCGCGAGGTCGGGTTGAGGGCTAGCAGGTGGGAGAGGAGTGTTAGACCAGCTGTAGTGAGGTAAGGGAATTTCGAGCGGGTGAGAAGGGGGACGCACGCGTCTGTTGTGGCAGTGGAGGGAGGGGCGTTTACGGGGAGGCGGAGGGATTTGGCGTTGGGGAGGGAGCGGAAGGAGGGCCAGGTTTGGGTCGTCGGGGGGCCGGTGAGAGCAAAGATCTGTGTTTTGAATGTCAGTTTTTTTTTTTTTTTTTTTTTTTCTTCGAACGTTGTACAAATGAATGATGAATTTTGTGTTTGCAAGGGGTTATACCTTGGATAATTGGTCGACTTCATTTTTGCCTTGGAATAGCGGCTCTTTTGTTAGGAGCTCACCAAATATACACCCGATACTCCACATGTCAATCTCCGGTCCATACTTATCCGCCCCGAGTAATAGCTCTGGAGATCGATACCACAAGGTAACCACTAATTGTGTCAATTTTGGTGGCGGGTCGCCGTAATACCTCGCCATGCCAAAGTCTGCAAGTTTGATTTCGCCCCGGTTGTTCATCAGCAAGTTGGATGTTTTCAGATCCCGGTGCATAATCCAGTGTGAGTGTAAGAATTCCGTAGCGGACATGATCTGCAGAAGTAGCGTCTTCGTTTCTGAGGGTAGGAACGGTTCGCGCATGTCGTCGAGGAGCGTCTTGAGGTCATGTTCGAGGAAATCCATGACGAGGTACACGCTGCAGCGGACAAGGGAAGTACATGGGGAGAAGAGCTGGTTAATGATTTCCGGTATCCGGGCTTTTCAGGGGGTCGCAACGGGGATGGTTGCGGAGAGAAATCTTGCAGACTTACTCATCCATGGCGGCGCCCATTACGACTTCGCGTAGATGGACGATGTTTGTATGTCGTGACTCCAACAGGGTTTGTATCTCCCTGAGTCCGGTAATTGGGAAACCGTCCTTACAATATTCCATCTTTAATCGCTTGAGTGCCACGATCTCGCCCGTAGCAACCTCCTTGGCTCTCGATACTAGACCGTATGACCCTTCTTCGATATGGTTTAATCGTTCAAAATTATCGATATGTCTGCAGGGACTCCATTCCGGGGCGGGAAATCGTAGAAGAGAAAGGGGCTTGTTGTCACCAATGTCGGGTTGCGCTTCTGGCTTATTGGATAGTCTGCGACGTTTGGATGGCCTTCCTACGTCGCCATTCAAACTGTCCTCCTGAGTTTGCAAAGAGCCATTGGCCGCTTCATCGGTTCGTTGTTGCACAAGCAGTTTCTTCTGCGCCTCTTCTTGTTGACGCTGCTTCTCAGCTTTTGCGCGTTTCCGTTCCTCCTTTTCCCGTCTTTTCTGTTCGAGAAGCGCCTCCGTTTCAGCATCATCCTCCGCCCATCTTGATTTCGGAGCGCTAGACATTATTCATCTCAATGGCCAATGTGTCGGTGCCTGATGTCCAGACCTCTTACTATGATATTTGTGATCGGTTAATTATGGTTTAACCAGGCTGATATTGCTCGGAGCGGATCTATGTTTATGCGGAGCTGCGGGCAGAAAATCACGAACTTTTCTCCAATTTCTTAGCCAACCCCACTCTGCAACACCATATTTGTCCAGTGGATATACATTTACTGTTCCTGCCTGCGATGGAGTGCAACATGCATATCGAGATAGCAGGTACTCTTATCAATCATCTCATTAGCTTCCTCCCGCGCTACTGTGGTATATAACCGTTGCACGACTGCGTCGCTTCGATTTGATTAACCTCGGTAAACCACTCCAACAATGATCGAGCCATACCAGGTAACTAGGCCACTTCAACGCCGCGGACAAACAGCTCAATGCTAACAAAGAAGAATAGGCTATTTTTTCAGTGCCTCTATCTTGCGAAGCTTGTATTGAGGATGTATCGAAATCCCTCTATGCTCTTGATGGTAGGATATACATCCTTATATCGATTTGCGCTCTTACCACTGCAATTTAATCCAGAAGTCTAAGATTGGGCATTACTTAGGCATCAAGAGTGTCCAGGGCAATTTGAAGGACCAGATCTTGCTCGTCGAAGGAACCGCTGCACCGTCTGCTATAGTTTCTGCAATCCAAAACACCGGCAGAGATGCCATCCTCAGAGGATGTGGGGCTTCAAACAGTCAGTTCCTTCCCTTGCTTTTAATTTTACTTCATATTTGCATCATCCCCAATTTCGGAGAGATCACCGCTCACCACCTTTCATTGTATATTTTTTGTGGACAAGATGCCTCAGTATGTATTTTAGAAACACATGCGAGTACCGTAAAGACCTCAATCCGTGGACTCGCCCGCATGGTCCAGGTCGCCCCCAAACTGACGCTTGTTGACCTAACTATTAATGGGCTTGATCCGGGGAATTACTGGGCTACGGTTCGAGAGAAGGGAGATATTTCTCAAGGGGCAGCATCGACTGGGAACATTTGGGAATCTCTGAAACAAAACCTTGAAGGATCAGAATCGTCAAGGGGAGTATTTGGCCAGGTAGAAGTTGATAGCAATGGAAAAGGGAACGTTTTCCTCGACCGTCCTGTTGCGGTATGGGAGTTGATTGGGAGGAGCATGGTGGTGTCAGCGTCCAAAGAGGGGCCGTTCCGGAAGGAAGATCCGAACACGCTGGTGGGAGTTATTGCCCGCAGTGCTGGGATCTGGGACAACGATAAGATGGTATGTTCTTGTTCTGGAAAGAATGTTTGGGAAGAGCGAGCCGAGCAGGTTTCAAAGGGAATGATATGAAAAAGAAATTGAAGTAAATTTTTGCCGCAATTTCACAAAGTTTTGCTGCCGAATGTTTGAAGAACGTCTGGGTTTGGATTCTCGTTCTCAACGAATGGTGCCGTCGAAACCAAGCAGTTCCGCCAGTAAAAGGGCTGAAGGGGCTTCAGAGAGTTGGGAGAGATGATGATTCAGATGGTTGGATAGAGGCAAGTCAAGGCTAAACATGCGATTGTTAAGTGACGGATAACAATTTTCCAACATTGATACCATATTAATAGCCAACGATTGCAGTTTACAAGAGACATGAGAGTTGCAAAATGGAAGTCGTCAAGCCACACTCGGGTGGGTGGCCTTATTACAACCTCTGACCAGGAGTTGGATTTCATGCGACTCCGGCTGCAGTTGTTGAACCCTGGCACACGGGTCAAACCCGGACTGCCGGAAGTCCAGCCATCCATCATGAATCGGTGTCGACGGCTGTTACAGAGTCTCGTGTGGACGGCAACTCTTAAGATTAAAGTGTAGAAAAGTATTATCTAACTCTATCCTGATATTACTTGTGAGATATGAGCAAAAACATTTAATTGTGAATAGCTCTGTATTAATACTACCTGTCAATGTGATGATATTGTTGTTCGGTTTCGGTTTGAACCCAGCCAATCTGTCGAACATGCGTCCTCAAGCGCCCTTAAAAAGTAGCACCCCTGCAAAGTTGCTTCCAAAGGTCTGGGCACCAACGTCAACCAACCAACCACCAGCCAGCAATGCCATATCTTTCTTGCATTCATCTGTGAGTGTTCAAGTCGTAGCGAGAAGCTGGGAGCTACATTCTTGGACTGGCCAAATCATGTCATATTCTGCATCTCATTCCTGCAAAACGTGGGATGTTGTCTAGCCAAGGGTAGCGTTGACCAATTCCCGGCTCTGGCAAGTCGCATCTCACAAATCGTGTTTCGTCTCGTTAGCTGATGCCGGCATGCTGCACTGTCTGCGCAGTCTGATCCTTCTACAGGCTCCTGGAGTGATACTCTGGCTGCCCCACCGTGACAAAGATCAGGCTTAGACGTCTTTGACTCAACGCTGCCCCCTCTTGTCCACCCCTCTCTAACCAGGTCGAGACCACCAACATCTACCGGCCCGTTGCCTTTTTCCTGAGAGACTCACACTGTTATTCTTGCCATGTGAGGAGCATTGCCAGAGATTTTCTTTTGCTGTTGAACATCCTTGGTTCTTAGATGCATCTACTCCGCTTGGACGGCGGCAATTTTGATCTTTCAATCCCCCTTTAATGTCATTCATTCATTTGTAAATTTAATCCCGACAAATACGATTGCTGGCTGGGCCTGTCAAGCTTCGGCATTCGACCGGACAACTTTTTATTTACTGAACCAAAGTTGTTCCAGTCTATTGAGGCTCTCGGATGTCTCTTGACTTATCTTGGTATTGATTCAGACATTCTGAACTTGTCAATCTTTACTAAATTGTCGCTCATTATATCTTTTTTGTGGAGGCAAGCTATTATAATCATACGAAAAAGTGAGAATTATAGCTGTCTACGGCCTGCATGCGGTATCGCCCAGCCTTAAGAAACGCAGGCATCCCAGGTACCTTGTCTTACGTTAACCCGAATAGAACCTTCTGTTGATTGCTCGGCGGCTACGTGGTTAATTTGGCAGGCTGGTTTCCTCAAAGGAGGATCAACTGCACGACGTGCCGCCAAATCACAGCCATCACGCGCCCAGAAAACCCCCATCAGCGAATTGCAAGAAGAAATCAACCCGATTTAGTCACCTCGAGGTAGATAATACGGCCAACTTGCTCTCTCTTTCGTTTTTCCCTCTGCAAACAAACATCATAACACAGTATACAAACAAAAACTACTACTAACAGCGTGCGAGCTCGAAATTCGCTAGGGTTTACCTAAACCCATTGATCGTCAGTGGTTGGAACGTAAATTCCACATCCTGACCTTCCGTCCATGCTGTGGGGCATACGTTTGGAAGTCCCACAATGTCTTTGAAGCAGGTAAGGGAACATGGAGATGTTTGGGTCCTCGCCATAGCTTTGGGTGTATTTTTTGATCTGATAACTTCTTTTTGTATCGAAATAGGAGATCGAAACTTGGGTTCAAGCTCTTGCAAACTACGACAACAATGAATTTGAAGAGGCACTAAAGGTCTTTAACAATATCGCGGATACATCGAAGATCCTTTTCAACTGTGGTGTTATCTATGCAACTCTTGGAGAGCATTACAGAGCTGTACGTTGTGATGAAAAAAATAGAAACCCCCAATTATCTCAGAGAAAGTTTCGAACATGTATTAATTGGGCACATAGGTTGAATGCTACCAACGAGCCGTAGGTCTCGATCAGTACTTCGCCGTCGCGTACTTCCAACAGGGTGTCTCCAATTTCCTCGTGGGCGATTTCGAAGAAGCTCTCGCGAATTTCAACGACACCTTGCTCTACTTGAGAGGAAATACGTCAATTGATTATGAACAACTGGGGCTGAAATTCCAATTGTACTCTTGTGAGGTGCTCTTCAATCGGGGGTTATGTTACATCTATCTCCAGCAAGTGGAGGCTGGCATGAAGGATCTCGAATATGCTTCGAAAGAAAAAGCCAAACCAGATCACGATGTTATCGATGAGGCTATCAAGGAGAACGCTGAAGTAGGTCATCCCCAGCCTAAAGTCTGTATCCCGCATGTTTTGTCTAATATAATCTGCGCAGGGTTACACTGTCTTCTCCATCCCCGTAGGAATCGTTTACCGGCCAAGCGAAGCAAAAGTTAAGAATTTAAAAACCAAGGAATATCTTGGGAAGGCCCGGCTAGTGGCTGCTTCTGACCGTGCAAATGCCTTTACTGGCTTCCAAGGATCTGAAATCAAGAGAAATATAACAGAAACGGCACGAGACGACCGACCACCCGAATCAATATCGTTTGCTGCTTCAAATTTAGTCCAGAAGGGTCTGACCAGCCGTGGCGGGAGGCAACAGTCAGAACCGCCCATCAGCAGAAACATGTTTCCACCAACCCCACCGCCCGAATCGGAGAAGCCACCATCCGTTGGGGGTGGTGGCTCTCCGAGCAATTCTTCTGGTATGTCAGGGCGCGGACCCCGGCCTCCGATGTTGGACTTGGATCGATCGGCCATGCAATCCAATGATTCTGGAGTGATGGCGGCAAGGCAGACAGAGAGGATGCGAATTGGAACCGTTCGAACTGCTTCGGAACCTCGCGGACCACCTTCTAGACAGCCCTCGACCATGCGAAGCCGTGACCAAACTAGCCGTCCTCTGTACAGGGAAACGACCCGACGAATGCAACTGGACCCGACTTTTGCCGCTGTGGACGAAGACGGATATCCTGATGAAGTCTATAACATGTACGCCAATAATTCGCGATCGACTGGAGCTACACGGGACCCAAGTATGAGACGTGCCCGACAACAACCACGGTTAGTAGAGGATGCCGATTATGTTAGTGACGGGTACGACGAGGAGTCTCCTGACGATGCGGAGTTCGAGATGATGGGTGCCATGCCTCCACGCTCACAGCGGCGGCAGCTGTCACGGCGGGCAGATATTCGCAAAATCCGAGTCAAGGTGCATGCCAGCAGCGATGTGCGTTTTATCATGATTGGCGCGTCGGTTGGGTATAATGAGTTTGAGGCTAAGATTCGGGATAAGTTTGGATTTAAGCAGCGGGTGCGGCTGCAGATGCAGGATGATGGGGATATGGTTACAATGGGTGATCAGGATGATCTTGACATGCTGCTTACAACGGCAAAGCATGGGGCAAGGAAGGAGGGGCTTGATATGGGGAAGATTGAGGTATGTCTTCTGTTTTTCTGGCTTATTGGCTTTGTAAGCTTTTGTGTCCTGCAAATGCGTATGCTAACTTTCGTCGATTTTTCGCTGCAGATTTGGGCACAAGAAATGTAGTAGTTGCTCATATATAAGCTCTCATCTCCCAATTCCCCCTTTCCTTTCATTATCATAGACGCATATTTATGACATTTTGTTTTCTGATATTGGTTTTCATGAATCTACTCCGTCCATATTCCTCTCAACCATGACTATACCACCAATGTGCATCACATCTATATCTATCTTGTTTTCCTGTGACCTCACATAGTCACTCTCTTCTCCATTTTTCCGTTGGCTCTTTCTTCTTAATCCCGGTTTTGTTACTTCTGCGGAAGGAAAAAACTTAATTATTACAGCATCATCACAAAGATGTTATAAGGTGTGACCGAGGGAATTAATCTTTTGATTTACCTCCTTCAATCAGTTTTGTTACTTTTCACCTTTTACGGCTTAACTACCTAACTAGATTTTTTTTTCTTCTTTTGTTTTGGATGGTTATATGGTTGAGCAAGTTGATTGATGGTAAAGCAGAATCGTGTAGGACAACTCGCAGAGGAAGTGTTCAGTAACTATTATTTCTACACTATGATCATAACTATATATTAACATCAATGGTTTCTACTCAGTCAGCAATACGCAAATCCCTTTGATTGTTTAAAATCTACCTAAATAGCCACCTGTTATTCGAAAACTGCTTTGCTGTCTCTTCAATCTCAACCATCCCAAGTTGGTGGTGGTTAGTGTGTTATGACTAAGCCTCCTTCGCATGACAGTAACTTCGTACTTTGTAGTTACAAGGGCAACAAACAAGCTCCAGCTTCAACATCCATCACGGTTCCAAGGTTGCGGATAAGCGTGATATAACTATCCACATACACATTCACATCTATTTAGATAATATCTTAAAACAATCCAATGCTACGACGGCTGCAATAATGACCGACATTACACCTATCCTCAACGAATGCCTCAACTCCCATGGCGCTGTGGGCATTCAATCCAGATCCAAACCCGGAGAAGACGAACGACCGTCGACAGAGACGGTGGATGAGTTTTTGAAGGAGGCATATAGAATAGTAGGTTAACAGTAGCAATGGAAACATCGGAATATATTAAGTGTGCTTTTAGCCAGAACCCTTAAGCTAATAGCATAACAGAATGCCCACATCACTTCCCTGCTCACCTACCTCAAATTCATCCGACAATCATATCTCTCCACCACCACTCCCCGAGCCCCTTTCTCCCATAATAACATTTCCCCACCAGCTATCCAAGCGCATCACCCCCTCAAACATCAAAAGCACCAGCTAGAACAGCAGCACTTAACAGACGCAGACCGCGACACGATCGACTCCTCCACCGCACTCCTCCTCCGCGACCTCTCCAGCTCAATCAGCAACCTTGCTTCAGCCGAAACTCTCCGCCAAGAAACCCAATCAACACTCCTGCGCAAGAAATTCGGCCTCGATTTCAAGAATAGTGCGCTGTGGAAGTGGGCGGCGGGGGGGAATGAGCTTGAAAAAAAGGCGGGTTCGGTTGAGCAGGAACGGCTGGAGGAGACAGAGAGGACGCTGAAGACTATTAGGGAAAATGTGCTGTGGTGGCTGAGGAGGAGGTTGGAAGGGGTTGCGGAGGTTCAGAGGGGGATGGTCGAGAAGAGGATTGAGAGGGCTAGGGAGAAAGAGAAAAGTATTTTGTATAAGATGGGTGGCATGTCTGGTGTCGGTGTTGGTGTTGGTGTTTGTAGGGGAGATGAGAGTGGGTTGCCATTAAGGGATCGCGTTGCGCTTGGTGCCGGTGCTGGGGATATTGCGCCCGATATGATTGATGAGAAGGAAAAGGCGGAGATTGAATCCAAGCTGTCGCCGGAGCAGCTGCAGCTATTTGCGCAAGAGAATGATGGGCTGCTGAAGCGTTATGAGGATAATTTGGGAAAAGTACAGTATGTTCTTGTGCCTTCATTCTCTTATGGGAAATTCACTTGTCCCTATCACCATCATTTCAACAAATATTACTGGGCATCCAAATTTGAGCCATACTAACCCATTCCTAGGAACGCTGAGAAATCCCTCCTGGAGATATCCTCTCTACAGCAGACACTGGTTATGCACCTATCCACGCAAGAGGAGTTCATAAATCAGCTCGTTACGGATGCGGTTAATACGGAGACCAATGTAGGGCAAGGAAACAAGGACCTCAAGCGGGCGGCTGAGCGACGAAGTACGGCTCAAGCGGTGTTTTGGGGGACTGTTGGGCTGTGTACGTGGCTGGTTATCTGGGATGCGATTTTTTGATCGATATTTTGCACTGCCCCCCAACACTCGAAATCTCTTCTCCCTCCTCTCTCTATCTCTCTATCTCTCGCTCTCTTGTTTCTATCTCTCTTTCTTTCTCTCTTCTGCTCTCTATATAATTGAAAAACGATTCTGGGTGTCCGTTTTACACATCATGTGACACCCCAGCACAATTTTACCAGAGCATTCAAAACAGCTGTGATTGTCAAAATTGATTCTGCTATATTGCGGCATCTATGTGACATTCCGCAGCCAGTCTGTGTTTTCCCTCATCTTTTTTCTGTCAGCTGCCGACCTACTTTTCTTTCACAGATCAATCCTTATATCTCTATGTATTAGGCTGCGTTTGAAATGTTCAAGTTAAGTGAAAATCCAGACACTCCCATTCAAATGAATGCCAATTTACATTACAGCTGGAGGCGGGTTGGGGATTGAAGATAAACCTGCCAACATCCTCTGAGGTAGCCGTTACAATCCAGGATCCCCCCAGAGGCAAGCATGTACAACTCTGTTCAATCACCTTGATTCTGTGACAGACAGTATGGGCGGGCATTGTCCTCTCACATCTCAAGAGTAGAGGTGTTTGTTTAGTTCATTTTCTGTAAAATATCTCCATATCAGACTGTTGTTCTTTGTTTTGCTTTTGCAGTCGGCTAATGAACTGTGAGCCACGGCTTCTCCGATGATATTTTAGCACTTCTGACGGGTTTATGGGGGTAAACATTTCTATCCTGCTATTTTATCACCACACTGCAGAGGGATGGATAATCTAACCGCTACTCGTCTACACCTAAATGTATAAAACAGCTGACTGGCAGCTGCAACATTTCATTTCCCCTTGGACTACAGAGTAATAACTGTATATTCAATATCCAGGTGTTGTTCTATTTGAAATTGTTGCAGTTGCCAGCCGGGCCGATATTCACCTTGTTAGCTTGTCATGTGATCGGGGATAGATAACTACAATTATCGGGCCGTAGCGAGCGATGCATCGCTTGACAGACATGGACAATGTAATAATCAATTCGCTCTTACACTCTCACACAACCAACTCTGTCCAACCGTGTACGTCATGCTCCACCTCCGACTGCGACACCGGATGTGCTTTCGTTGATTGAAGTAATTATCCAACTCCCTTTCTGCTAATACGCAGTCACCCTATTTCTATCTGACTCCGAGACAGGTACCCTTTTCCTTCTCCACGACCAGCCTTGTCGTCGTCGGCGCAACTGGCTGCCTTTTCTTTGGGGCATGTCCTATCATCCGTCATGCCGCAACGCGGGCTACTAGCACTGGCCCCTGGTCAATCTCTGCGCCTTCGGCTCCGGTGTATTAAAACTGACGCTTATCGAGGACGTCTTGGCAGGCAAAAATGGCACAAAGCCTTGATCCCTGACTGGCTAGACTTGCCTTGACCAAGAAAAAACTACTCCATCTTTTCTCCCCTTGCCTTGATTCTGAGAGAGGCTAAACGGTTCAGGTAAAAATTTTGCCATGGTGGCTCTATTGGTTGTCTTTCGTGCTTTTCTTCCCCCGTTTCCTCTTCTCTTGCGGGAGCATACAGTTAATTTTCCGACACTCAGCAATTCTCGCTGTGAGATAATATCTTCAGAAGCAACGGCAATTTTCTCTCATTTTTCCACACGGCCCTGTCTACAATACTACTTTGCACTCCCTTTTCTTGCATCCCCATTTTTAAGACTGCGGGCCTCGGTTTTTTAAGGGTTGTTCTTCGTTTTTGAGAATCTCCTCCATTCACTGGGAATGTCCTGAAGCTACTCCCTTCTCCCTGCCATTCATTTATACCCCCCTACTTATACATATTGTCATCTGGACGTACATTTCCGAATAATGTAATAGGGCCCCGTACCACTTACGTATTTCTTTTCATACCCATATTTATAATTTTTATTTGCCTTGTCTAGTTATATCTTTTATCCCCCTGAGTTTATTAAAAAAATCCCATCCTGTCAGGCTAAAAAGCATCAGGCATGGCCCCTCCCAAACGGCGTGACGATAACTGGATCGATGTAAGATTTAATTTTCCCCCGGACCTGTTTCTAAAATAAAAAATGATAATAATATATATATATATATATATATATAAAGACAGACGACTTCCGCACTTAATTAACTCGATTGCTGACAACTCAAACCCCCTCAGGGCCTCCGTGGAATTGCCTCGTTTATCGTGGTAACAGGTCACATCTGTACGGCCTTCGCCACCTATCTACATTCTCCTTCATCCTCAAAAGATGGCTGGCCCCTGTTCTTTCAACTGCCCATTCTCCGCCTGTGCGTCGGGGGTCGTGCAGCTGTCTGCATATTTTTCCTCGTCACCGGCTTCGTCAACTCTATTAACCCGATAACAAACGCACAGTCTGGCAACACGGAAGTTGCCCTGACCAACCTTGCCAAAGCTACCTTCACCCGTTCCGGGAGACTTTTCTTCCCGACAAACATCGCCGCCACGGTAGCATGGACGGTTTGTCAGCTGGGTGGATTCAATATGGCCACCAGGGCCGATTCACCCTGGATACGTATGGTGTCCAAGACGCCTGGTCCAACCTTTTGGGAAGCCATTAAGAATCTGGTGCAGAATTTGACACTTTTTTGGAGTAATGGCTCGGGCACATATGACCCTGTCCATTGGACTATTGTGTTTTTCCTAACTGGGTCGTTCCGAATTTATCTAACTTTGCTGGCGACGACGTTGGTCAAGACAAAGTGGAGGGTGGCTATTGTTATTGCTTTGTATATTTTTTCCTGGTGTTCGGGCGATTGTAAGTTCTCCGCTCTGCATGAGAAGAAAATGTTCCCAGCCCAACCCGCCGTTCCGTCTTTCCCCTTCCAATGAAATGAAAAGAAGAGATGAAAACATGACTACTAATAAATCATCAGATATCGTTGGTATAAACATTTATTCCGGCATGCTCATCGCCCAACTACAAGTCTACTATGGCTCGCGCGCAAACAGCATGCTCCCCAAGGCCGTTCCCGCCATCATGATTCTCATAGGCCTCTTAATCAGCTCATACCCCCAGGACAACCATGACTGGATGGCCTGGTCCGATTCCATGCGGCGCATCATGCTCCATTTGACCCCAGGGAACACCACAAACTTTTTAGGCCGGTACTGGGTAAACCTGGGCTGCACGACGCTCATGGCTGGCATCTTCTTCTCTCGCAACGCGCGGCGGGTCCTCACGCACCCGGTCTTCAATTTCTTTGGACGATGTTCGTTCCCCGTCTACTTGTTGCACAACACACTCATCAGGACATTGCTGTGCTGGATGGTATATGGTGCGTCGGCGTGGTCGGAAGATTGGAGTAAGGTTAAAAAGGATGATGGGAACCCTATCGAGCTACTTAGGGCTGGAACGGGGACCTTCGTTATCGCGATTCCGTTGTTTTATGTTACGTTGTATGCCGTGGCGCATTTCTGGATGGGGTGGGTTGATCCTCTGTGCGCGAGGATTGTAAATTGGATGCGAGAGAAGATGTTTAGGGAGGAGGTGGAGTTGGGGAGGGGTACGAGGGGTGCCGTTGTGAATACGATTGGGTCCAAGGAGAGGGAGAAGGGAATAGAAATGAGCATTTCGTTGCTTTCTAAAGGAAATGACAATGGGGGTGAGGGTTCGAAGAATAGTAGACCAGCATAACCTCTTGAGGCGGTGGACAGCATTTTTCATATCTCCATTCCGTATGTTGATGTATATACTCGGTGTTATGCGCATAATTTTTGGTTGTTTGGTTGAATGTCATGATTTCCTAATTTTGTCCAGGTCAACATATCGCCGTTTGGAGCTTTAGGGAAATTCTCCATGGAGTGATCCCTACATGTTTTTTATCCGTTTCAAATTGATGCTGCTTTTGGGAAATATGTATTGTTTGTTTGTTTGTGTCATGCATTCTTTTACTCCCTTGTCTTGAAATTTTTGGCACCCCGGCTCAATTTTCGCACAGACACTGCGCCGATCTTCCAAAAAAGCAATTAATCACAATTGGCGTGGAATTCAGCTGCATGAACCAGGGCATTCTTCTGCAAGCTCATGCATAAATGCAACCCCCTGTACTGGCTTGCCGTTTCAGGGCCAAAAGCAAGCCCTGTACTCCGTACATCCATTCGCATCGCTAGACACTCTTCTCTCATCTCCAGCAGATAATCTACGTTTTATTTGCACCATTCTTCGATTGTTGATGTCTCATCCGATCCACCACTTTCCCCTTCGAAGAGATAGAATGTACTCACAGAAGTCCGTCAGGGAGGGCCTCCACTGAGATAGGCAACCCGTTGGTGTTACTGTGAGTCCAATAATTTTAAGTCGGTATTTCAAATTGACATACGCTAATGTCCAATAGCTAACACATTTCTTTGGGTCTCGATCGCTGTCTAAAAAAATGGACTATAATTCCCAGACCAAGTCAGCATCTTCCGAGGCAACTGAAACTGCGTCAACTATTTGGGAAAGCCATCCGATTATGGAGTAGTTGGTCTCATGAAACCAAACTCGGAACCAAAAATCGAAAGCCTGTGGATTGTCTCGAGTTTCATTCATCATCTTTTGACACAGAATTCTGAAAAAGGACCTTGCGCTAACACAAGGGCTATCACAAGGACTATGAACACCAATCCCTGGATGGTTCCAGACTCCAGGTTGAAGAAGTTCAGTGTATATATGGAGTGAGAGATTGACAATTCAAAGAGTTTGCGAGCTGGGTGCAGATTCAACTTTTTAAGGGGGAAGTTTCTGCCACTCATGCCTCTCTGTCATCGCCATTCAAAGGACCTGCTCTGCAATCCATCCGCACGAGCCAGAGCGACATCTGTTTTACAAGGGATGGTCATTAGGGTGCCACAGATGGATATCCCGACAAACCTGTCTCCGACGTTTGAACGGCTAGCATTTATGATCACACTGCAATCCCGGTATTGAGAAGGATGGCACTGCGTTGTCCGGGCACAATGACAATTGAAGTAGAGGAGGAGGAGGAGGAGGAGAGAAAAGGAATAACTCTTCAGCTGCGTGCAGCTGTAGTTATTGCGTTTCGGACTAATCTTACATGCGCAAGAATTTAAATCTTAAGCACACGATCCATTGAGCTTTTATACGGGCTCTTCCTACTGGCCTGGCTCTCCCTGTTAAGAGTGTGAGACATGTCAAAATTGACAGTGGAATGTATGTATGTACGGTACAATTGTTCAAGCCTCCAATTTGGCAGTGAAACGCTGCAGCAAAAGCCCTAAGATTAATCTTACTGTCAATGGATCTGTTCTTTCCAGCACTGCAAAATGGGTTTCTGTGCAAAATCCCAAACACCCATTTTTATCTTGAGAGCTGCCCTGTAATGGGGGGGGGGGGGGGGGGGGGCGGTGTGATAGGCACCCATATGACAACTCCCCAAGTTTTCCCTACGCATGGTGCATTAATTAAGAACTCTGCTAGTGGAGATTTTCGTTATTACTAGAACCAACTGATACATAATTGAATATAAAACCTTTTTGTTAAAATCCTTCCAAGGTTCCTTTCCCTTTTTCCCCTTGGTCTATTTCAAACCCGGATTATAACCATCAGAGGCATCACGAATACTTAAAGACATGAACAAGGTTCATCCTAGCCCCAGTTTAAAAGCAAAGACCCGAATTTCAACACGCAGTCTACGCAATCTCCCGCACAACGCTATCCACTGCCTCTGCGAAGTAGTCGATGTTATGGGTATTCAGGCCAGCCATGGAAATACGGCCGTTCTTGGTCTGCAGGTTTAAACCTCAGTTAGCAAGTGAAGAATCAGAAAATAGAGGAACTACCAAACGGTCATTGAAGGAAAAAAGGGAGCCAAAGAGGAAAAAACTCACCATATAAACATGCCACTTCTCTCTCAGCCTCGCAACCTGCGCCTCACTCAGCCCCGTAAAGCTAAACATGCCAATTTGAGCGGTAATATGATCCCAACTCCCCGGCGTCCCCTTCTTCTCCAACCGCTCTCTCAAACCTTTCCTCATCTCAACAATCCGCCCGCTCATCTCCCGCAAATTTTCCTCCCACTCCTTATACAACACAGGGTCATTAAGAACCAAAGACGCAATCCGTGCCCCGTACGCGGGTGGGTTCGAAATCTCGGACCGCTGTAATATAGCCAGCTGCGATGCGATGTGGGCAGCGCTCTCGACAGCCTGCGGGCCGGGCGCGGTGACGAAATGGAACGCCCCCGCACGCTCACCGTAGAGTCCGAAGTTCTTTGCGAAGGATTGCGCAATGCACAGCTCGAACCCTTGCTCGACGAAGTAGCGGATGGCCCAGGAGTCATGCTTTGGGTCGCCGGACGCGAAGCCCTGGTACGCAGTGTCAAAGAAGGGGAAGTGGTTTGCCTCGCGCATGACGGCGGCGATTTGTTTCCATTGTGCTCTTGTTGGATCGACGCCGGTGGGATTGTGGGCGCAGGCGTGCAGGAGGACTATGGAGCCATGGGGAGCGGAACGGAGGCCGTTGAGCATGCCATCTATATCTAGGCCTTTGGTTGCGGGGGAGTAGTAGGGGTAGGATGCTGTGCGGAGGTGGACGTTTGAGAAGATTTGCTGGTGGTTGGCCCAGGATGGGGAGGAGAAGTAGATTGTTGGTGGGGGTTGGGAAGGGTGGAATTTGGACAGGAAAAGACCGCCTAGATGGACGGCACCGGTGCCAGAGATAGTTTGGAAGGTTACGGCCTGGGATTCATTTGTTAGACGGTTATAACAGGATCACTATTTTCGTGTCGGGAGTCGGGAAAAGCAAAAGTACCCTCTTCTCCCGAATGGCGGGGGAATCCGCGCCCAGGACGAGTTTCTGGGCAGCACTGGTGAATTCAGCCAGACCGGCAATGGGGAGGTATTCGTGATTGAGATCTGGGTCTTTGCGGAGGATCTCATCGGCCTATTTCGTATGTTTAGTATTTTGAAAATGATTGAAATTGGTGAACATGAATTGTGTCTGGAGAGTCTGATAGCAATATACAAAGGGTCACAGTCTACAGCAACCCCGTTTCGACAACCCCCAAACCGCTCCAACCGCCCAACAGCTTCCCAATCTCTCAATCATCAAAGAATTCAAAGGAAAGCTACTGACCTTCTTCACGACAGGTAAAACCCATGGTTTCGCATTGTTATCTCTGTAAGCGCCAATGCCCAGGTCAAGTTTTGTATCGGCGCTGTCCTGTTGGTAGGCGCGCTTCAAGCCAAAAAGGGGGTCCTCTGGGGCCTTTGGCACGGACGAAGCCGTGAATATCGACGAGGAGGATGTCATGATGTGCTGCGATATGTTGGAGAGGCGCGATCGAGCTGTTGACAGCGAGGATGAGGGCGAATTTGACGAGAGTTGAAGTTGCAAGGGTGATAAGGAGGAAGAAGAAAAGCGCGGGGAATCAAGTGGGTGAGCCATGGTTCAGGTGGTTAAAAGTAGAAGGGGGAACAAAAGCTAGCTTTGGGATTATTTAGTTATACGGGGGTAATTAATCAAACTTGAGTTTTCCAGATACCACCAGTTGAAGTAGAGTTGAAGAGTTTTATTTTGTGAATTTATTTATTTATTGATAAATTTTCTTTTGTAAAAAAAAAAAAAAAAAAAAAAAAAAAAGACGAATAAATGGAAACTAAGAAATGAATGAATGAAGGAAGAATTTATCTCCAGCTGTTGCTTTCCCCGGGATATCAGTAAATTGGTTTGTTTGATGGAGAGGGGAACCAAGCCCGAGGTATCTCTGCCACTAATTCTGTATGGGTGTGTACTTGTCTGTTGGTAGTTGTCGTCACTCTACAATCTATAATAGGGGATGAGATGGGAACATTTGTCTTCTCTGCATGTGCTTGTACTCCAAGTGCTGGGGCACAAGAAGTGAAAGGGAGATACGAGAATATTTGAACTTCTTTGTTGTATCTTTTCCTTCTTGTTAGTTAACTCCGTCGTTTGCTCAGGGAATTCTGGTCCTATTTTTATCCGAGAGAGATGACAGACTCATACCGTCACATGCCACACATCGTTTGGAGTGTGGGTCTTGAGTAGACGTCATTAAACAATGCGGATGGGTTATCTCAATTTGATCGCAGAGAGAAATTCTCTCAGGGACCAAACCGATTACCTGTGTTCAGTACAGAGAGTAGTTAACGTAGTCCTCTCGTGTTTGTCGGCTCTGTCCTCCGTGCCACACTTCTTTCTGTTAGGGATCAGGGGACCCAATGGGATTGAACTCGTCCTTAGTTAGTCCCAGTATAAAACTACTGGCGATTGGGCATTTTATCCGGGCGGTTTAAAACACTTTTCCAACACAGAGGGGCTGTTGAACCTACCGTCCCAAGATAGTTCAACGAGTCTGCTCTTGTGTTACGAAAAGCACCAAGGGGTTGCAACGTGTGATCCCTCGCAAAAGCCGTTGACTGGTTAAACTAGCTTCAATTGGGCTCTCGTCCTGTTCTTTATACGACGACGTGAATGAAAATGGATCTTTCGATCCACACGCACGAGTTTGGCCTAGAACGAGATGACGGCAAATTGCCAATTCTTGCCAGTTGAGCCAGCTTCGCCAAGGACACATCAAGCAAGAACAACAACAGCTCCAATTCCGAGTGTTAATTTATAAAGATTTATCTTTTCCTAATATTATTTTATTACATTTATCTTGATAACTTCATTATATATTTATTACAAATTATATATATAATTGATTTTATATTTATTTTTTATTATATGTTTATTTTATTTTAATATATATTATATAATTAATTTATTAACTGAAGTTTTATTTTCTGAATTATTTTTAAATATTAATACTTTTTAAAGATTTTTTTGCATTTTAAATTACTATGTCGCTTTATACTCCGTACGTTTATTTTTTTTTTTTTTTTTATTATTAACTATTAGTTAATAGGTTTTAGCAACTTATAGTTAAATCATTTCTCAGTTCTGTAAACATTTAACTAACTAATGTCAGTTACATCAGCATAAAAAATGTAGGAAACAGAGACTTGAGAACTCATCTTAGAGCCTAATGAAGGATTTTAAATTTTATTCAAATTATCAAAGTCTGTGAGTACAGAATGATTAATGCCACAATTATGAAAAGTTGAATCAGGATGATATTTGCTGCAAGTGAGAAAGAGAAGCGAAAGTGTACGAGATCTAGCCGCGGAATTCAACGCGAGGGAGACCTAACTCTGCTAATTCCACCTTGCTCAGCCTGTTTGAACAGGTATTCAACATGTCGGCCAGCAGAGCCTTGACCACGTGTATGAGCGCTGCAGAGGTGAAGCATTGCGGCATGCTGGAGAATAAATAGGATAGGTGTCCGGAACCTAGTGTGGTGTAATTAATTTACTTGGTGGGTTGCTGAGCGTAGATATTTCAGGTTAAAATCTAGTTATGAAATTGGGTGTTGCGCTCGGTGGATTACGTTAACTTAGTTAACTCACTTAACTAACTAGTTAGCTAATCTACACCTAGTTATAGCCCTTGAAAGTGGAAAAAGACTCAAAAATCCATCAACGGCCCCAGTACGTTAGTTGCTCCTGAACCACACACACCCCCTCATTAGCCCTGTGCCCGCCATTCATTTTTTTTACAAAGCGCATCGGGGTCGGATTCTACCCTCGTACACACTCCATACACAGATTGCTGTCAAGGTCTGTCTGCCCGGTGCTGCGGGTTCTTTTTGCTGTTCGTTGTTGTTGTTGTTGTCGTTGTCGTTGTTGTCGTTGTTGTTGTTGTCGTTGTTGTTGTTGTTCCTACTGCTCGTATTATTTAGTTGCTGGCATTGATTGTTGCTGGGGGTTTGGCCAAATAACTTCCTCTCCTCACAAGACACACCACCCAATTCCTCCCCCGCCGTGACTTTATCTCTCCTTCATTCTACTTCCACGATTGCCCGCCCAACTAACCTGCGTCTACCCCATTGTTTCTCAGATATTTACACCCTCTAAATTCACCAAGGCCCATGTTGGGTTTCCCCTCTTCCACCTATTGAGTCCATTTTCCCTTTTGCTCCTTGGACTGGACGAACCCACTTCACTCTTTCCATTAAAACAGCTCTCCGCACCGCTGGATCTGTCGCATAATTTCCTCCCCCCATCGCCGCTCCGCGTTCCGTCCCTTCTCCCATCCAACAGATTTCGCTATGGAAGGTCAAGGCGATAACGACGAGCTCTACCCCATCGCCGTCCTGATCGATGAACTCAAGGTAAAGCTTTCCGCTTCCTCCCACCATTTAAATCGGCTCCAGCCTTGCATGGACATACCCTTACACATAGACAACCTTCTTACGAAATACAGCACGAGGATGTCCTCCTTCGCCTAAACGCCATCCATCGCCTATCCACTATTGCTCTGGCTCTTGGCCCAGAACGAACACGAGACGAATTGGTGCCTTTCCTTGACGGTTTGTCTCGCAGTCTTTATATGCAACTTGACCTGTCCCTGCAATGAAACTCCGAACACTGACCAGGTTCCACTATTCGCTTCCAGACTCTGTCGAAGATGAAGATGAAGTGTTGACGGCGCTCAGCGAGGAATTGGGGAATTTTGTGGAGTATGTTGGTGGCCCAGAATACGCACATGTTCTACTATCTCCGTTGGAGAATCTGGCCGCGATTGAGGAACCATTGGTGCGAGAAAAGGTCGGTTATGTTTGGGCCCACCCGCAAAAACTACAGGAAGATGTGGGTGTCCCGCAGTGCACGACTTGCTGACAAGATATCCTTATACTACAGGCGGTCGAATCACTGAACAAGATTTGCGGTCATCTTTCGCCAAAGCAGATTGAAGATTACTTCATACCCCTCACTGTGCGCCTCTCAAAAGCAGACTGGTTTACCTCGAAAATATCCGCTACTGGCCTCTACAGCGCTCCGTATTCCCATGCCTCTCCTGCTCTGCAGCAAGGGCTTCGACAGCAGTTTGGGCATCTGGTTCACGATGATACTCCGATGGTTAGGCGGCAGGCTGCAAATAACCTTGCGAAGTTCACCAAGGAGATGACTACGCCAATAATCATAGATGAAATAATTCCTCTTTTCCAGTACCTTGCCAATGACGACCAGGATAGCGTGCGACTATTGACAGTGGATATCTTGATATCGATCTGCGAGGAGATTCCGAAAGAGCAACAGTCAAGCCATGGGGTCCTTTTGACTGCACTGCGAAGTTTATTCGAAGACAAAAGCTGGCGCGTTAGGTACATGGTGGCTGATAGGTTTGAAAAAGTAAACCATAACCATGGGTGAGAACTGCGGCCGTGGGCAAATTATCATAACTGACTGGTGGCCTTTTCACACAGATCGCAAAAGCTGTCGATGATGAGGTGTTGAATCGCGATCTTGTCCCCGCCTTCGTCAAGTTACTGAAAGATACCGAAGCAGAAGTTCGCACAGCAATCGCAGGGCAAATTCCTGGTAAGATATTATGTGTTTTGGGTCCCAACACACGTTGCATCCGATCTAATACGTTTACAGGTTTCTGCGAGCTTCTCGATAGAGATACCCTTTTGAATGAAATAATGACTACCATTGAAGACCTTGTAGCCGACCCCTCTCAACATGTGCGTGCCGCACTAGGGACCCAGATCAGTGGTCTAGCACCGATCCTTGGTAAAGATGAGTGAGTGATGGTTTCTTTCCTTGATAATAATTTCTCTGTCCGATGCTGACTGGTAATTAACAATCCTAGAACCATTGCACACTTGCTCCCTATGTTCTTGCAAATGTTGAAAGATGAATTTCCCGATGTCCGTCTTCATATCATATCCAAATTGGAATTGGTCAATAAAGGTATGTGTTTCATCCACGACCAATATAATATCTCAGTTGCTCACATTGCGTACAGTAATTGGAATCGAACTTCTATCCCAATCTCTACTTCCTGCCATTGTTCAGTTGGCGGAAGATAAGCAGTGGCGCGTTCGTTTAGCGATTATCGAATATATCCCCCTTCTTGCCAGTCAGCTTGGCGTTAAGTTCTTTGATGAACAACTCAGCGCTCTTTGTATGGGCTGGCTTGGGGATGCGGTCTTTTCCATTCGAGAGGCAGCCACTCAGAACCTAAAAAAACTTACCGAAGTGTTTGGGGTGGACTGGGCGAAAGATTCTATTATTCCAAAGGTTATCTCGATGGGCCAACATCCAAACTACCTGTACAGAATGACAACCTGTTTTGCCATTTCCGTAAGTCCCCTTGCCTATCTTTTCTCCAACTATGTTTGTCGGATTAAAGCATTTAGCTTATGTGCAAACAGACGCTCGCCCCGGCCATCAATCTCTCCATCATCGAGACATCCATTCTTCCAGTCCTGGAGAGACTCGTGAGTGACGATATCCCAAACATCCGTTTCAACGTCGCCAAATCCTACGCTGTCATTATCGATACTCTTCGCTGCTTACCTGCGGAGGGCACGCTGGCTGAGCTTGAGAAATCTGGCCAAACCGGTACCCCAGGGCCACGTAACTACACCATCGTACAGCAACAGATTCTTCCCAATCTCGAGAAACTGCAGCAGGACGAGGATGTTGATGTACGATACTTTGCCACGACGGCTGCGAGTAGTTTTGCGGAAAATATGCAGACGTCGCCATAAGTTAAATAGAGAATCTTCCAACGCATCCCGCTCCTCCCTTTCGCCATTTCTCCCATTTGCCGAGACTACCTCATTTTCATCCATGCTTGTTATGTTGCTCCCTCGCTTTATTTGGGAAGACTATGTCGGCTTAGACGGACTCACTTTTGTATTTTTTTTTTAAATTATTTCCAATCGCAAGAGAAATGGGGACATTGATAATCGATTAAATTTGCTTTTGTCGTTTCCTGAAGAGAGTCAAGGGACCAACAAAAAAAAAAAAAAAAACATACACGATTTTCCAAGGATTATTTATTTTATTTATTTTATCAGACTAGCAGCTGGAGGCCATCCATCTGAGCAGAAGTAGAAACTAGCAAAGTTTTGAAAATATTCATCTTTTCTTTTCAACCTCATGGTTGCCTCCCTTCGGTCTTTTTTGCCCCCTCTCCTAACGGGTCCCAGCCATGAAATAAACAAGATGTAGGGCATTGCAAGCTTCCTCCTTTCATGTTTTCGAGGGAGCATACGTGATGTTTTTTTGTGCGACTGTTAAATTATACGCGCGGTGCTGAAATATACTGAGAAAGAAAGAAAATAAAAAAACCCCATAAACTAGCCATTTCATGGAATGAAATGTATGTCCCTTAATGAGAAACTAGGGCATGTATACGATGTTGTAGAATTTTGATTTATTTGAACATTCCTTTGAGAGTGGGTGGAATACACATTCAGCTTTTTGACATGTCAGTAAAAGTCAAGTTAGAGATTTGAGTCCGAGAAATATGAATATATTGCCCTCAGGTGCTGCACGAACAGCATATATCATACAGGAGAGATATTCCATGATAGGTGGATGCCTGGTCTTATGCCCGAATGAACAGCGTATGTGGCTGAATTATGACCCCAACTGTGGCGGTGCAAGGGAAAGTTCCCAACTTTTGCTGACTCGAAGCATCAACTCGCAGTAATTCCCATCGCTACAGTTGACCACGCAGTTGAAATAGTTGCTGCACTTTACAACAGCTGGTTGTTTGTTGTCTTCGGTTTCTTTGAATACTCCCGTCTGTTTATGAAATTTTCTCTGTATTGAAAAAATACCCTGGTGCTCAATTTGTTCATCCCAGCAAACTGCGAACTTGGTAATTTCACTGTGATTGAGAAATTTTTACAGCCCATCCAGAATGCCTACTATCACCGTCGATAAGACCGCTCTCTTCAACGAGCTGGGCAGAAAGTAAGTCCAATTGACTTCTCTAGCTACCGTTGAACCTATCTGAATTCTCTTTTTTTTTTTTTTTTTTTGCTTATCCGTAATGCGACAGGTATTCAACAGAGGAGTTCGACGAACTATGCTTCGAGTTTGGTAAGGCAGCAGTAGCCAAGGTACCCCCCTCCTTACGAACGCCTGCTAATAATGTCTCTCAACAGGCCTTGAACTTGACGAAGATGTAATACCCCCTTTTCGTTCCTCTAGGCGATCCTTTCTCTGAACGATTACAGACCGAGAACTCCGAAAGACCATTCGTAAACGGCAAGCAAGAAGCCCCGCAACTGAAGATTGAGGTCCCCGCCAATCGGTTGGTACTCTCCCTCTCTACGGCTATATGTGACACGAAGTACTAAGTGGACAATAGATATGATCTCATGTGCATTGAAGGCATTGCACTCATGCTAAATATCTTTCGGGGCCGAGCTACCTTGCCTAAATACCGTCTCGTTACGCCTCCTAATGGCGAACTTGAACAAATTATCGTGAAAGAGGAGGTGAGGAAACGAACAAGCAAAATGACTATAGCTATGGAATTAGCTATGCAATAGCATTCACTGAATCTATATGCAGACGATGAAAGTGCGGCCCTATATTTCAGGCGCCATCCTTCGCAATATCCGCTTCGATCAAGCCCGATATGACTCCTTCATCGCCCTTCAGGACAAGTTGCACCAGAATCTTGCCCGTCAGAGAACGTTGATATCTGTTGGAACGCATGACTTGGATACAATTAAAGGACCGTTCACTTATGAAGCTGTGCCTCCAAAGGATGTCAGCTTCATACCTTTGAATCAGACGAGGAAGATGAACGGGGAGGAGCTGATGGAGTTTTATGAAGTATGTCAGATTACGCACCACCGTACTCTACAATCCAGAAACACGACACTAAAAAGCTTATAGAAAGATAAACATCTCGGAAAATATCTGCACATTATCCGGGACTCTCCAGTGTACCCTGTTGTTTACGATGCAGACCACGTTGTCTGTTCCCTCCCACCAATCATCAACAGCGACCACTCGAAAATCACTTTAAACACAAAAAATGTTTTCCTCGAGTACACTGCGCTTGATAAAACAAAGGTTGAAATCGTAAACAATATCCTAGTTGCTATGTTCTCTCAGTATACCTCTGAGCCTTTTACGGTTGAACCCGTGAGAATAGTATCAGAGCACAACGGCGAAACTCGCGAGACCCCCAATCTAAACCCCCGCCACACCCAAGCCAGTATATCCTATATTAACCAATGCTGCGGCTTATCCCTATCCACCACTGAAATCTGCAACCTCCTGAAACGAATGGCATACTTTGCTGAGCCATCCAAAACATCACCAGACCTTATCGACCTTGAGGTTCCTGTGACCCGTGCTGACGTCCTCCACCAAGCTGATATTATGGAAGACGTGGCCATCGCCTACGGCTTTAACGAGTTACCCCGATACTTTCCCAGCAAATCGGGCACGATCGCACAACCCCTCCCCGTCAACAAGCTCACCGATATCATCAGAACAGAAGCCGCAATGGCTGGTTGGTCTGAAGTCATGCCACTAATCCTGTGTTCGCATGACGAGAACTTCGCCTGGTTGAACCGCAAGGACGACGGGAACACTGCAGTTAAACTTGCAAACCCGAAGACGGTCGAGTTTCAAGTCGTTCGCACGAGCCTGTTACCAGGTCTTTTGAAAACTATCAGTGAAAACAAACACCATGCTATCCCTATGAAGATCTTTGAAGTCAGCGATGTCGTGTTCAAAGACCTATCCCTTGAACGCAAGAGTAGGAACGTGAGACATTTCGCTGCAGCTTGGTATGGGAAGACGAGTGGGTTTGAAGTTGTGCATGGTCTGCTTGATAGAGTTATGGCGATGCTCAAAACTGCGTTCATAATCGGCGAGGAAGGTCTTAATAATCCTGCGATGAGCTATGCGACATACTGGATAGAGGAATTGGAAGGTTCGATATAACCCCCCCCCCCCCCCAAAAAAAAAAAAAAAAAAAAAAAAAAACGAGTAAAAATCACTTATGGTTTAAGGAGAGTATTAGAATCCCATTCCTGCTAACTAATATCTTCTCTTTTGTTTCAACAGATCCTACATATTTCCCCGGACATGCTGCTTCCATACACGTCCGAATTTACGGGAAGGATCACGTGATTGGATCCTTCGGTATCTTGCATCCAACAGTGCTTGAAAACTTTGAGTTGAAGTATCCCGTCAGCACGTTGGAGATTAATATTGAGGCTTTCCTATAAGTTTTCCCGTGTCTATTTTCAATAACTCTTCGCGTCTCTATCGTCCTGTGGACTGAGTATTGGGGGCAGAAGAAGTATATTCATCTAGAAGTAGAATTGGAGCCATCAAACAGTGGTCAAATGAATGACGATGATCGGAAGCTAATACCAAAGGCCGGGAGGTTTGGACAATAAATTGGTGTGGGTTAAACGGGCATTTTGTAGACCAGAAAATTGACTTGGTGCAGATGGATGGAACTCGAATGAAGGAATAGATACTGTATTTACACTTGTCCAGGGCTACTTGGTGACGTCAGCTTCTGATATAAAAAAAAGTTAAGCATTCACATACTCCTTTTCTTTTGCCTTCGGCATTTTCAGACCTGGGAAATGTATCACAGCAAAACCTGCCTATTGTTGGTTCATATCTCTTATTGCTACCTTTACAGTAGAGAATCTTGTAGCAATGATGAATACATCTCATCTACGTATATCCCCATTGCAATAGGAAGAGCCCAATTTTTCAATACACTGAACGGACTGTCCTAATAAAACACAACGCAACCAGGACCTCATTTGCGGGAAGAAAAGAAGAAAATATAGAACAGAGGCAGAAAATGTAAGTTCGTATTCATTTTACGCCCGCGGATCAACAACCCTGAGAAATAAGAAAGAGACATTAACAAGAACCCGCACCGCATGACAACACACCAAAAAATTACTCCTGCCCTTCCACAACCTGCCCATCAGGACCAACGCCCTGTCCCGCAGCCTCAGCTTCCTGCTGCTCAGCCAATCGCTGCTGCTCAGCCAGCTGTTGGGCGGCAAGGGCTTTGGCACCATAATCCTGGCTAATTGGATGCAGGACGGGCTCTTCCTCCTTGGGATCGATGATGGTGACGGAGTCGGGGAGAGATTTCTGGGGACCGGATTTTCCTTCTGGGTCGCTGCCGCGCATGATCTTTACTTTTATGCCAAGGACACCTTGGCGGAGTAGGACGTGGCGGGTGGCGCTGTCGATGAAGTCGCGGACGGGTTGGCCGGAGTGGATCATGAAGCCGTCCTAAAGGGGGAAGTTAGCGATTGTTTAATTGACGGTGTATATCGGGGTGGTTATGAATAATAAGTGGCAATGGAGTGTGGGGGGTATGAAATTCTTGCTTCACAGGACACCGATCAATCGGACAGGTAGATTGATCGAGGTCTCCCGTTCCCGTTCATCGCAGTCAATGACCGCTGTACAGGGAAGAAGAAAAGCGTGAACCCCCCCCCCCCCCCCCCCCCTCCAAAAAAAAAAATCAAAAAATCAAAAAATATGTGAAGAAGCATACAGTGAACTTCATGCTCTTGGCACGAGCAGCTCTCAACTTTCCAGAGACAACCACCTCGCAACCCTTGGCACCGCTCTCCATAATAAATCTGAGTACACCGTAACAAGCTCTTCGGACAGCAAGACCGTTGAGCAATTTGTATCTCAAGCTCTCGCACTGAGCAACGGCAGACAGACCACGGTTCTGCACCTTGGCGGCATACAGAGAAACGGAGTTTTCGGGGAATTTGAAGCGTTTCTGGATGAGGGAGGTGAGTTCGCGGATGCGGCGACCTTGTTCGCCCAGAACTTCCTGGGTGTGAGTGGCACGGATGACTGTTGCAAGAAGAGGGTTCGGGGTTAGTGGTTTTCTTCTATCATCTCAATGTAATATTTCGCTCAGACTCCTTCCACCCGCGGCGAAATGTTCGTATTGTATCATCATCCAATCAATCAAATTGGTCCATTCCCTCTCTCTTCTTAACCCGCATCTTTTCCCTTGTGTACCTTGCACAAATCCAGGGCATATCACTATTCTTTCTTTCTGTCTTGTCTTTAACCGAATCCGTATTCCCAAACCCACAACGCCCAAATAGGGTAATCCAATCTCTCATTCTTCCTCTCCCCTCCAAATCTCACCAAGCGGTCGGTAAAAAAAAGACAAGGAAAGAAAAAGGAACACGTACTGATATCAGTAACCGTGGGAGTAACCCGGACCTCGACGCCAGAGTATCCCTCCTCAGCTAATTCGCGCTGGAAGAACTCGTTCAACTCAGCGTAGAAAACACCATCAGCCACAAACTTGCGGCGCTTCGAGATCACTCCTTGGACGGCAGCCATGATTGAGAATTTACTCTTGTTTTTTTTGTTTTGTCGTGACAGAAAACAAAAAAGGGTCCGCCGGGTATGGGTCGTGGTAAGGAGATTCGATGGGCGACGGCGACGAGCTGCTTCGGTCTTCTGCGTCGTGGAGATGGTTTTGGAGGTTGCTGTGTTTTTAGTGGGGGATATTTCGAGGTTAGGGCTTGGGGTTTGCCCTAATTCCGTTTTGGGACAGTCTAAGCTTTGCCATTTTGCGAAGGCCTCCCAACCCTCAATCCTCAACCCTCAACCCTCAACCCTCAACCCAGCCATTCTAATGGGGCTATGTTCGGTTATATGTTTAAAGATGGATGGTGAAAATTACAATAATTATGGCTGAACTAATGTCTTACTATTTTGTCTGACTCCCATGGCATTAGAAACGCTGGAGAGACAGAATGTGTACTCTAGTCCTCCCTGATGATACTACCATATAGTTCAGAGAGAAGAGAAATATGCCATTTAAATTCTCAATGCTGAAAAATGAATTAAAAAAGTGCTATATCATCAACCATATCATGAACAGTGCAAACCCAATAACCTAGAACTCCTAAATTAGGAACGCCATGAACGAAAATTATAGTCACCGTCCCGGCATCCAGAATCAAAGTGTATGAACTAGTGAGGAACCGCTGTATGAAGGACGCCTCTTATTGCATCTCAACCTCCATTTCCTTATTTCCAATCAACTCTGCTGGCTGCCACTGGCTGCTTTTCCGACCGGCTGGCAACCCTAAATCAGAGAGGCCCGCAGAAAGCGCAGCCACCCCTGACGACGTCGTGCTAGTGCTAGTGCTCGGGGGAGGGGGAGGGTTGCTGGCCCCAGGGTTGCTGAAAGAGCGTTCAGAAGTATCAACTCCGGTTAGAACTGGTGTCCTTGCGCCAGAGGGATAGTCCTTATCCAGAGACACGCAGCTGCTGCGATGAGAATTCATTTCCGCATCGGTTCGACCAAACGCTTCACTCCACCATCGTACCTCGCTGGTGCGTGGGAAAAGAAGCCGTTCCCGACCTCGCTTATTATCATCTATGACAGGGTCATACTGGGGATTAGTGAATTGCTCCCTCCTGGCGAGAAAGTAGTCCCACACGCTCCTTGTTTTTTCCTTGGCTTTTGCGTCCACACGCTCCTTTTCGCTGTTAAAGAGGAACGTTCCATATTGGCATGAGTAGAGATGATATAACAGTCGTCGAAGAAAACGCTCGTTGAACTCAAAACGTGTGGGATGCTGATATATCAATTGATATGTCGCGTCAAGGAATTGATGGAAAACAGGGCTTGTTTCCTTAATTTTGGTCACCTCGATTTCGTTTACCGATGTTGATATACGTGTACATGGCTTCTTGGAGCTATCTGAATCCAACGCCTGTATCTCCCCATCCGACTCACCCAACGAGTCCCGACTGGCGTTTTCTCTGTTGAAAAACACCTTCGCACTGAGAAGGGCATTTTCGAGTGCTTTCCCTGCGCCACCTGCATCACCAAAGCCCGAACGGGTAGTCTCACTCCCCATGCGGTCATTTTCGACCTGAAACCATTTCTCACTACTTAGATACCCAGATCGATGGCGAAACATGTGACCAAACGAGAGCCAATCCTTTTCGACCAGAACCATGAACCCTTCCATTGTCCTGTAGAACGGGTCAAGGCACAGCTGGCTCAAAGCGCTCAACTGGCTAGTTCTATCCCAGCCATCTGAACAGTGAATGAGCACATGAGAATGCTGCAAACCCACTTGGCGTGCAATTAACGCGGCCCCGTCGAGTATTCCGGTGATATGTTTGAGCCAGCCACTCCTCGCAAGCTGATCTCTGTTCGGTCCGAGTGGCGTCACATCAGATTCTTTGAGAGCATCAATAACTCGATTTAGTGAGTCTCGCATAACATGAATGTTATCGATCCCCAAGTAGGCCTTGGTGGCGAACTTATAGTTGTCCATGTTTTCGGACCCTAGACCAACGGCCTGCATAGCAAAGGCGTTCACGGTTGGGCGAGCGTCGACAATAAGATTGTGCTGCTGTGCTCCATATATTTGAGGCTGTGTTCCGTTATCTTCATTCCGGGCTGCAGATATTACCTCGTCTTCCAGCTCTTCAGCGTTGGATATTTCAAAGTTCGCTGGTGGAATTGCTTGCTCTTCCTGGCTGGAAGTTAAGGAGTCAGCCTCAAAGGAAGAGGTAGGTGTATAGCTCGCAAGAGGCCTCTCCGGACGTGACGTCGAAAAAATAGCGGCTAAAAGTTTTTCATCTTGTATGCTTCTCTTCCCACGCACACCCACCAGCGGCTGAGAGGATCTTGTAATAGAACAGTTGTTGACAGGGTGAAGATAGGTCAAGACGGGTATTCGAGCTCTGGATCGGTATCTTCCGGCATAGTTAAGTGTATTATCTGACATGCCCGAAGGAACGGGAAGAAGGGCAGGGTATGTGGGCGAAAACTAACGGTTACAACGTCAGAGTTGCTTCATCGTAGAGCAGAAGAGAGCCACATTCATCCATACCGAGTAATTCTGATTAATAGAAGATATCCTCCAACTGCAGTTTGCATCTGCCTTCCCAATTCCTAAGCGCAACCATTCTTTCCGCGCATCGTAGATTGCCCATCCATCGAGACTTCGCTCGGGGGGTGGAGGCTGATAGGTGAAAGCATAAAGTTTTTCGATCCGTCCAAGTTTGCAGGTCCATGACTTGATGCTCTCATAAACATCTCTTGCCCTGGATTCTTCAGGGAAATAGAAACAGACAAATGTGAAATCACGGCATCTGAGGCGTATTGAAGAGGGCTGTCTCGAAGAACTCGGTGCGGGCCTGAAGGTGCAGAAGGAAATGATCGGGTATGTAATCCACAGCTCTTTGGGTTTCGGGGTTATATTGTCTCCCTGAGACTGGTCTGTAGTTGTAGCAGGGGGGGTATGTGAAAATATAAGGTGGTGAGGCGTGAGATGCAGTGTGCCGAGAACTTGCTCTCCACGTCGTGAGAGCGTCACATTATCTACCTATGTCCGTATATCAAAATATGAACCGTCAGCTCCACATGAATAGCTTCAACGCACCGAACAAAAGCCGTTTTCCTACCTTTGCAATCCTTGTTCGTTCCATCTTGGAATGAATGTCGAATAGTTCACGTGGAATTTAAAGGAGTGGCATGGTGAAGACAAGCTGACTTTAATGGGTTTATTTTCAGTGAGCAGTTTCCAACCCACGAACACTCCAGATCGGCCAAGCGTACGTAACAAAGCTGCGAAAAGAAAGCGAATAACGCCTTGGGGTTAGACAGGGAATTGGCCAAAGGTTTGTACTTTGTAGAGTGCTTGCGGAATACTGCACTGGATGTGATGCAGTTGAAGTCCTTTGGTTGGCAGATCGGACAGGCAACCAGCCAGCTTATTTAGCGCTCCGCCCCGCCTAAATAAACTCACAACGTCAGATATTTTAACTTTAAAGACTCCCAATTTTGCGGGTAGATTGTATCTACAAAAGAGCTCATTTGACGTTATATTAAAGAAATATTGTCCAAGTATCTTTGCTATCGTACAGTTCAAGCCCGGGCAATGCTATTTGACCAATGGAATGAACTGGACAGAGCAAAAAGAGACTGTCTTCCTGCGGTTTCACTAGACGGGCAAGGCCTTTGTATTGTATCTCTCCCTTTTTAAAACCAATAAGAATGTGAGCTTCTTGCTCTGGAATATCAACGTCTCCTAATGTTATGAATGATGATGTTGTTCCTCTTCTCTATCGATCCACTTTTGAAAGTCTGCCCTTATGCTTTCATCCGTGACTTTGGATTTGATGCTTTCCCTATCCATCTCCTCAAGCAGCTCTACCGCTTGCGGATAGTGCACCGATCAACAAGATTGGAAATCATGTCCCAGAAGTCTTGTAATTCGTTGAATTTGGCCGCACCGTCGGTCTGTGCATTCAACTCTTCGTCACTGAATTTGTGCGGAATCGGCTCCTCAATGTCCAGAAAGCCCCATCGTCTATGATATTTTGATTAGCATAAACGGATTATAGTTAGTTTATCTTTCAGGTGAGGATGGAATTGGCGGGGCTGAACCGTTGGATCTTCATGAGGGGACTCCAAACCGGACTATGTCGCCTGTGTCCCAGGAGCCGACGCAGAGCCTGATCGGGAATACTCTCATTTGCTGGAAATCAAATTGGAAGAAGAACTTATCAAGTTATAGACTTCCTTTGCGAGAAACTGCTGGTAGGAGAACCGGAGGATAGACCGCGAGTTTTTTTTTTATTTCCTTCTCGATATTACTTCTCTCGTCTTCACCTAGGTCTTTGTAGTTATCTGGATGCTTGAGGGTAAAATCTTCGCCGTCTACTCTGACGATTGCTGGCGGGGAGGCGAGAGTGAACAACCCATACATCTTGCCATCAACTATACCTGCTAAAAAGACATTCTCACCATACAACTTCGGGTGCCAAGTGACGATGCTACGAGTTCAGGGTCCTTTGGCAGAAGCAAATGAGTAACTGCGAATATACTTACCAAGCAGCGAGAGATATGATTTGGGGGAGTGTATCGTCTGTTGATAAGCTATCTGGATGAATATCAATCTCTCGTAGGGTCGGGTACCGGTTCGTCCAATCTCTCTCATTTACCAACCCGCAATTAAATGTCCAATAGGAGTTCTCCCTGTGATCCATCAGTCGAAGCAACAAGGACATAGTTATTGGAAGCATCCCTACACGGGCCCCGGTCGATATCCATCTTTACTCTTTCCTTGAACCAGAAATCTTTTTCAATGGTCAACCGTAATTATGGTATATTTGTCCATTGATATACTTTTGCACAGTCGGTGAGAAACGAGGCCTTTTGCGGGTGGAACCTCTTTAAGGGGACAGTTTGAGAAAGTACATACATACTACTGCTATAGCTTTGCCCAAGCAATAGATGATTTGGTGTCTCTTCTGCTGCAGACGTGGGGAATTCTGACACACATCAATTAAATGTCACTGACAAGTGTGTCTGTTGTGTATTGACACCAGATCTTTAATAACAGCCACACGATCTCGCACTTCCACATCTAGCCATAACTTACCTCTTTCGATTGAGTTCCTTTAGCCTCTTCGGTCAAGATATACTCCGGACCAGCACTCTGGGACTAGGGGAGCCCGAGTTTGTTCGAACCTAGAACATGTAGTTAGTTAACTAAATGTTAGTTTTTTTTTTTTTCTCCCAGCCGAGACAACAAAAAACACTAAAGAAAATTCCTACAAACACCATTGTTGCTACACTGGATGCAGTTGAGCAGTAAACAGGAGCCCCAGAAGTCAAATACGGCAAGCTTGCGATAGCTACGGCACTATTATCCATAACAAATCGGAATACTTTGTTTGTACTGGCCGTCGGTGATTTTAGATATGTGTTTGCAACTAGGTTGCCCCGACTGTTTGGGCTGCTATTCGCTGCAAGGCAGGGTAAGTACATTGAATTCTTTGTAGCGGAATTGCAGATGTTTTTCTTCGTCCTATAACCACCAGCCCCCATGTACCTGGAAACATTGTGATATTGGAGTCGCATCTGGACGTGCTACCACGTTGGGAACAGAGCTGTATTGACGACATATGCAAAAAGGGGACAGGAACGGAATCTTTGATGAAGAGAAGAATATGTGAGGAGGACCTTTTGACCCAAATGATCCATTGGACTCTGGCGCTTGGTATGTGAAATGAAGTGAGTCTACGTGGCATTTAGGCTTTGGGGGACGCATTGCTTGAGATGGAATACGGGATAAAGATGATTATATTCTCCCGGTGAGTTAGTTGACATCCATGATCCGATAATTTCCTGTGACTGCTCGAGTATTATCTAGCCGCGCTACCCGCGCTAACCAGTTTAATGCCTCCAACTTATTATTAGCATCGATGATACGGGGAATATCTACTTCAAGTCTACCACAAGGATGTTAGTGAGTGAGTGTGTAGCGTGCCATGGTTGCTTGCTCGCCTCTGAGAATTGTTGTTTCAGAATTTAAAACAAGTGAAAAGTTCTTTCAAAAATTAATTTGCGGACTCATCCTCGCGTGGTGAGAGTTTATTTCTCCGTCGGAAAACTTAGTAACAGTTCGCAATCGCCCGTTTCTGGAATTTCAAATGAGTTAAACGGTTATTCATATCCGGTCGTTGACGTCAGATAAGTTGTGTCGGCTCTCCTTATTCTTCCGTCAGATCCAGACTTGAGCCTTTGCTGGCTCAAACTAGACGATTGCTCTACAAAACATGTCGTGCCCACGGGGGCCTCCGCATTTTATCTCGAGGATGCATTATTTTGAACCAGCGAAACAGGATAGACAGAAGATGAATGGATCGCAGTCGGGAATGGGAATATGTTGTCTACCCACCCGATTTCGCTGTCACCTTCCCAGCTCCAAGTCATGGATGTCAGTGCTAGAGCTGCATCTGCCCTCTCTATCACAGCATCATTTTTCGTAATTGCAAGCTTCCTGGGTAGTAATCTATTCAGAACCCCAGTCAACAGACTCACCTTTTATGCGACCTGGGGAAATTTATTTGCAAATATTGGCACCATGATGGGGTCATCTGAGGTTTCACGCGGCGAAGCGAATCGCCTCTGCCACGTCCAGGCATTCATTTTACAATGGTGTGTGTTGTCCGTTCTTGTTCCTAGTCCCTTAAATCTCTCGTAGCAAACTTACATAAATTGGACCTAGGTTTTTGCCGGCAAACTCGCTATGGATCTTTTGCATGGCCTTAAATGTCTACTTGACCTCATTCCGCAGATATAGGCCTACTGAGTTGAAACGACTGGAGTGGCGGTACTTCATTTTATGTTATTTAATCCCATTCATACCTGCATTTATATTCCTGTTCATCCGCACAAGGGTCAGGGGACCTGTATATGGAGATGCCATTGTGAGTAAAAAAAAAAAAAAAAGGCCTTGATAACCCGATCCTGTGTAACAGGTGCCGGCCTACTAACCACGGTATATGTATGTAGATGTGGTGCTGGATTAGACCAGAATGGAAAGCTTTACGCTTCGCATTCTTCTATGGGCCTGTATGGTTCGTAGTCATTATTACAGTTTCAATTCTTACATACGCGGGAATTGAAATTCTATCAAGGCAAAAAAAAATTCGGAGACTTTCTGCGACAAATATTCCTAATATCCCAGATAAATGCCACTTAGGGGCCCAGCGAAATCCTACGATTGACGTGGCAAAAGTTCCCCTGGTAACAAATGCGACTGTCGATGGTTTGGGAGGTGAACTGGCGAATGCTCCGGCTTTTGTTCATCTAGCTTCCTCTGGTGATGCAGGGTTTATTAGGGAACAAGTTGCGAAAGCCGGGGATACGTCACCAATGACAACTTGGTTGGACGGCGAAACATCGCAGAGAGCAGAAGACAACAGAAGTTCGAGTATCAATCTCAGACGATCCTCAACACAAATCTCATCACATCCCTTGCCCTCTCTCGCTCCTTGTGCCACAACTGACTCCCAGATGTGGCGGGAAAGCGCACTACGACCAAGCACAACTCTCAACCTCGAGTCCCTTAGATCAGACTTTGATGAACTTGAAAACGTAAATACGCTGCACAGCTCTCAGATTGACATGGAAAATATTCCTCGGAGTACAATCAGTGGGATATATCTTGAGAATATTGACCTCTGGATCCAAAGCCACAGCCAAAGTTGGCACTCAAGCCATGAACTTGTTCAGCATCAAGTCATCGAGAGTCAGAATGCAGCATATTCGTACATCAAAAGAGTCTCGCTATTCTTTCTTTCATTATTCGTAACTTGGGTTCGTATTCTCTCTTTTTACGATGATACTTCTATTCCTTAGATCCCCGCTGATACCGCCAATCTATGTATCCTATAGACCCCTTCCACTCTAAACCGGGTCCATCGGCTTTCTTCCCCCCACGAACCGGTATTCGTTCTTTCTCTCCTGGCCACATCAGTTCTTCCGCTCCAGGGCTTCTGGAACTTAGTTGTATATATATATACGTCTTTTGATTCTGTCAAGGTGCTTTATGCAAAACTCCGCACACGGTGGAGGATGCGTTGGGGGACGTAATTGTATATGCAGAGCTAAGGAGGCAAATGCCTCTCATTGTTTTTAATGCTGTATATACCTTTTGTTATTGTGGATATTTGTTCCATATAACCTAAAACTAAGTGTAGGGTTCGATTTGATTATATAATCGTTGTGAGTTCGAGGTACGGGTGTTGGGTTGCTCGATTCTGGGATTTTGGAACCTGTCGATAATCATTATGTTTTATCCTGAACAGACGAATTCCAGTTTACTTGGATCCACCATGCTGCAGCTGTGGAATTGCTAGTGTTAAATCTGTGGATTTTGCAGGTGTTTTTGCCACTTCCTCTTCCATGAAACGAAAGCAATTTTCATGGATTGTATCTTCAATCCTTCCTTTCCGCTGGAATAGAGTATCTGTCACACAGAAAACAAAATAGAAAGTAATCATGGTTTCTTTAAAGCATACATGTTATTTTCACATTTATAAACATTTTTCCGACTATAATACACATAGACACCCGAGCGAGTTTGAAGGGACCAGGAACAAGAAAAGATGCGACCATACAACCGGATCCAATAACAATCGTTAATATGTTCAGGGACCTCTAGATGTGCAGGAAAGGAAAGGAAAGCGCCAAATACCGTATATCATTTCAGGGCTACTACGGGCTTTACTATTAAATCTATCTTCAGATTTACCATCTGCACCTTGCTCCACCCACTCAGGAAACCTATCCTCTGGTTCAAGATTGGGATTTCACCGATAATTTCCTTCACCTACACAGCCAATCCGTCCTTCAGCTCCCATCATCCTTGTAATTCGCAGCAGCAGCAGCGCTCTGTTCAAAAGCCATTTCGCAGGCTCGGATGTAAAACGGCTCGAATGCAGCCCGAAGCGATCCGTGGGACTTACCATCCGCAACGGCGGATGAAAGACGGGTATTCGGTTGGCAAACCTCTGGTCTCAGTTCACTCTCATCGCGACCCAGGGAGAGAGACATATTCATCACATGCTCAGGCAACGCAAGGCCCATGTGTACATGCGAGAAATTGAGCTCGAGTTCTTTATAGTTGAATCGGGAGATTTGAGTTGACCTCAGGTAGTGCACTGGAGGGAGCAAGTATGTACCCGTTACGAAGTCAGACACTTCATGTGCTTGCGAGTCCGTTGCAGTGGCAGAGGAGCGATTAAAGAGCAGCTTTCGTGGAATTGAAAGCTGACAGGATACAGGCATGCGGGTTTGTCTGAAAGCATCTTCACAAACCATTCTTCGGATGAGCTGTAAGATACTGGAGATGTCGGCTCTTTTTCCATAGGTTTGTAGCAATGTAGATGCGTCCTCCCCTTCGAGGAGGTCATAATGCGTGAATTTCGTGAAGCGAAGGTCGAGAGAGGTTTCTGGGAGTAATACGTCCATGCTCACTCTATGAACGACGATGGATGCTTTTCGTAATATCGGAACAACAAGTTGACGTCTACCTTTAAAACGTAGTAAAACTTCCAATTCCAATTCTATCGGAGGGACGCGGAACTTGTTAGTAGGCGAAGGCGTAAGATGAATCCGGTGGAGAGTGGCGTTTTTATTGTTGAGTAAGGGGGTTAAATCTTGGAGAAACGCTATGGGATTGGGAATATTGGCAGCAAAAGCTCGAGGAACGGTAGGACTAAGTGACTTAAAGTTCATCTTGCCTGGTTTCATCAAATGTTGTTGCGAAAATAGAGATTTTCCAAGAGAAGCGACAACTACCTCACGGACATGAGGTTGGCCAGGATTGCGCCAAGTAACTGAAACTGGTTTCTTGAATAGCTCGTTGCACACCTTAGTAAGAGCAGACGCATGGTCTGTCCGGATGAGTGCTGTTGGAGGCTTTGATTGAGTTCCACTCGGTATTTTGGACTCGGACAGCGGCTTCATCCATCTTAGCCATCGTCTCTGACGATCCACCCAAGTCAAGAACTCCGGGTATGCAACACTGTACATAACTGCTGGCTCAACGTCTGGCAAGTAGGTACAAAAGCGAGCTCGGTCCTCTTCGATCATCGATATTGCCGATTTGATATTCCTATATGCCTCGTCCGCTTCTTTCTCCAACTCATGTACGAAATAGATCTTTATTTCCCTTGCACCTTCTTTACGGCAAAATACATGGAATGACTCTTGCATCAAACGGAAAAATCGATTTTCAAATCGTCTATTTTTCCCATGGAATATGTAACCTCTGCTCGGAAGCTCCACAGTTTTGGAGAGAATCTTAGGGAGATATTCCATGACACCATTTCGAACAAATTCACAAGACGTTTCATTTGCTGTGATCCGCACAAGGTTTAAAGACCTGGAAACGTCTATTTTGGCGGAATAGGTGGTTGCGAGGTCTGAGAGAGGGCTGGTATCAGGTAATAAAAGCATGGAGATCTCTTGTGGAGTCAGGTGCATGTCCAATTGACCTATTTCACCCGAAACAGATAGCTTCCAGCAGTCTCGTAATACGGTCTCTGCCAAGGAGACCTTCCCAGGCATATTTTGAAGACTCCCAATCCTTGAAGCGGTCTGTTTTTGGGCCTCAGGGTCCATTTCGAGAAAATGAGAGGTTCCGGGCCTCCATCCCGAACTCGATATCGTTGAACACTCCTCTTGGTCAGCGGGATTACCTAGCGATTCAAATTGTTTGTAGTAGTCAGACAGCTGATTAGCTGTAAAGCCATCCTCTAGTGCTTTCCGAAGCCTACGCCATTCATTCCTGTTTAGCTTGTCTCCAGGCTTGTGGTGGGATCGGATTTGATCGATGTTCTCAATAACCTCTTTAGCACCTCCCGTTTGGTATCTTGTTCTATCCACCTCTCTCAGTAGTTCAGATGGATTTTCCCATGATGCATCACCATCAGTTTCCTTCTCCAGTAATCTTGAAAACTTGCGTGCGGTTATTTGTTTCGGGCGGCTCGCCCTCTCCTTCAGTATCACAACATCCCCAACCTCACCAAGGGTTTGCACATCCAAGCGCGCAACATGTCTTTGATATCGGGACTTTTTAATGCTCAATACCGGGTATAGCTGAGGGTTTGATTCAGTCCGGGGACTGGGAGTGGTCGTGCTGTGATATCTGTTTTGATGTAGGCCGAAGCAGGTATAGGTAATGATGCAGGTGGTCAAGGCCTTCTGAGAACGAGGAGAGCAAAATTGGCATCGGAGACAGGTAACCACATTTTGCGACAACAACACCTTAAACATCTGTGATGGGAGAGCCACAGGACTAACAGCCCTGTGTTTTATGTCCAGATCATGACCAGAAAGTTGAGAATATTCGCATCTTAACTTTTTGCTTCTGGAAGTGGCAGAGAATTTTATCACGTGAAATTAACTGTATAATTACTAGCGTTGTATTATTTTGATGTAATGTTACATGACACAGTTCGTAAACAATTCTCAGGGGGTAAAATTCTACATATAAAATTACAAATAAAATCACAAACAGTATATATGCATTAAAGGTTTAAGGGATCATGAACTTGAAACACACAAAATGAACACTCCCACTATGGTTGTAACAATCTGGTTGACCCTCTGGACGTGAGGCCTAAAGCCACTGGCCGTGAAATGTTTCAATACCAGTGCGAATTCTGAACCGAAAGATAAATTCATTCATATGCTCGTGGTCAGTAACTATGGTGGGAGAATAACCGAAAATAGATAGCTGGCAGGTACAGACCTAAATGGTATCATCTCTGCAAGGGTTGGAATATGGAGTTCTGGTTGCATAAGCCAAGGTTGCTATTTCAGTAGTGCTAATCTGGGAGCAACAGTTGTTAATTAGCAAATCCAGTTTGCTCAGGATAAATAGTTATACATTACCTTAATCGTGGAAAATAAGTAATAGAGCGCGATTCAAAGATCTGTCAGAGCACGACCTGACCTCCATCCCTATTCTCTATAAATAATGCACGGCCACTACTGCAAAAGCCCGCGACATTCCAGGGAAATTGAACGCAAATCACTGCGGAGTTGAAATTTCCCAGCTCCTCAGATCTTCACGAAGATCGAGCTCGGATACTTCTCTGCTTTTTTCTCTCCTTCCTCGGACCCTATAACGTGGATGCTCCAGGCTATCCTTGCCCTTGCTGTCTCCTCTTCGATGACCCCCAAATGAGGATTTTGCTCCTCTTTCATTTGCGCTGTCGCGAATTGTGCGCCGCGAGTCTGCATCGCTAAGTGAGGCACTATCTTCATAGCCATTTTGCGGTCTTGCGCTGCGGCTAGCTGATCCCCAGCCATCACCTCCCGCAAATATATCTTCGATCAACTCATCGGGAGGAAGTTCTCCAGGTCGACACGCCCAAGAAGCTGCCAAGGTACGCCGGTACATATCCTGCATGTCGCCGGCATCGCGACTCCTGCTATTGTTTGAGGGGGTAGAGCCAGAGTGAGCGAGATCACCCTGTTCTGCGGATATAAAACCACCAATCCCCCCAAATACCATGGCCGTCTTCAGACGAGGTCTGTAAACGGTTAATACAATGATGGTCCCAAAAAGAGGGGAAAAAAAAACAAACTAAGCACTGACGTGGTAAAATTGGTCTCTCCCTCAACCTGTCGCATCACAATCCCAACCTTTAAGGTGCTATTGATTTTGCTGTCTTGCAACAAGTACCGTCTAGTTACACCTTCGCCATCTTCATGCTTATCTACATACTCCGCAAGGTTGAGTCGAACATTTCCCATCACCTGTCTATCCCCGCGATTGCCAGGGGTAAATTCTTGAATAATCTCAAAGTAAATTTCACAGTCCTGGAGCCTCTGGTTCCGATCCACAGTTAGCCTGATAGGAAGTATCTTTTCATATTCCCATGAAGCGCGATGGTCTTGAATAACGGCATTTGCCGTGTTTCCACGGTGCTCAGCTGATGTGGAAGAAGGGAGGTGCCATTTTGCGAAAGCTGACCCATCAATAAGCGGGATGTTGTTTAGGTCGATTAACTAAATAAATCAGTTGGAATAGTCCATCTACGGAAGGCCTGCTAACTGAGAAGAGCACAGCATACTCGCAATGTAAGTTCGAACTTCGGCTATGAGGTGGGGTAAAGAAGTCAGCTTGTGGTTAGCAATTGAGAATGGGGGTGGAATATCATTACCCGCCTGTTTTTGGGGACTGAGAGCGTCCTTGTTAGCGTTTTGGCCGAGTAGACAGCATACTCCCAGGGATTCATCCTGGCTAGATGCTATGCAGGGCAGCAGGGAATTGAAAAGAGCTCACCAAATGCCTGCATTGTGGAGAGGGGCAAAGGGGAGAGAAATGGCTATCCAGCTTGTTGAGTGAATTCACACAGCAGAAGTTTCCTGTTTTTTTGCCTTCCAGATACCTGCTTACATTATACACAGTTCTTCATGTTGAACAAATAATGTGAATAGAAGGGAAATGTCACTTTCTTTTGATCTGAATTTTCTCAACAACAACAGCAGCAGCAGCAGCAGAAGCAGCAGCAGGTAGAAGAAGAACTGAATAGAAGCTCAAGCGTCTCTTGTTTGGTTAATCTCTCTTATCTATCTTATTAGTGGCATCTTGGCTTGTTAGTTTGTTGACCAATGTTGTTTATCATCACGTGCAACTTAACCATCCATAGATCCAGGTGATTCTCACAGCTGTACAAAAATTGTGAACTTTTTAGACATCAGTTATTGCTGACTCTTTTCATATTATCTACTATTTTGTTCATATCCTCAAAACACAGGGTTGTAGCAAATAACAATTCCCACCAGGCATCTCGGGCTTTAGCACCCAATATTGCGACCTCGGTAGCGACGAGTCAAATACACTCTGTATCAACATCATATCTCATGCAACAATGAGCCAGCTGCCTCCATCGCCGCCTTCGGAGCCTCTGTCTCCCGGGGGCCAGTCGCGCCATGCCACGGAACCTGTCCCTCTCGATTCCGAAATCCGCACAACCCCAATCCACCATCTTCTTGAAGACATTCGCGTCCCATCGGAGCCTCTCCCACCGTACCGTTATCACCCAATCACTTGCACTCCACTTGACGCAGTGGAAATTCACACCCAGCTACAGTCATTGCGGAAGGAGTATTCGACTCCCGTAGCGGCCATTAAGGGCCAGGAAGAACTGGCGAAAGAGGTGAAGAGGAGGATGGCGGAGGCTGAGCAGAAGAGAGAGGATATCCAGAAACTTATGAAGAGAAAGACGGAAGAAAGAGGCACGGAAAGAAGGGTTTTTGAAAAGATTAAAAAGGAAAGGGAGGGCAGGACAGTGTGATCGCTTGAGATTGGCAGGATTGCCAGTTATCAAGGAAAATGAGCGAGCGGCCGCTAAAACCGAAGCTACTGTGCGGCGGAGACTGAAAGGGTTGACTACAATTTCAATAAGATGGGGCGAACGGATGGTATTGCCTATTTCCCACTGTTTTACGAAGGATGGTTACCTACGTATATGGCTTTTATCAAGTACACTGCATTGTTATTGTGCAGAAATTGACTTACAGGTTGAGGTTATATGCGACGTGGATTTAACGAATGGCAAAAGATGCCTCCCTACATCTTCCGGCATCCACGAAATAAAAAATGCGGGAGATATGAAGATGTGGTTTCATAAAATCCAGATGGAGAAAAATGTAGATGGACGTTGGGAAAACGCCTTTGTCTACTTAACGGAAATGAGTGGTATTAGAACAATAAGTGGTTCGCGAAAAGCCTCCAGGATATGAGAGGGTTGAAGCAACCAACGGAAGACACCACAACAATACATGGGGCTAATGGATTGTTGAATGACGGATCCATCTTCGAATTACATAAACTTCATTCATCGAGTACTTGAAAGCAACATTTTCACTATCTCCATCCCAACCCATGAAAAGCAAACCATATTGATCATCTTCAACAAGTTTACCTGCCAACACAGGGGTCTGGATCCGAGACCAGGCTGGAGTCATCTGGCTAGAGAACCAGCAGCTGTACTCTGACCCAGATGCAGGTAAAAAGTCCATGGCCAAAGCGTTTCCCCACACAGGCAATGGTATGGCGAAGAAGGGGGGGTAGGTTGGGAGTCTAATATAAAAACTGCAAACCTACATGACCGTTCGTACGGAGTACATTGATACAAATTTGTGAAGGCACGTCAAGCGAAAATCATCTTGATAATTGAATGACCAACAAGAAAGACAATCAAAATACGTTTTAGCACACTGGCCGTAGTGTGCTTGATTATTGCGGAGCTAATCCGTAGTCCGAATAAAAAACGGCGCTGTAAATAATAACTCCTGTAAACTCCAACCTCACCTTTACAATATGAAGCTTTATGATTAAAATGGATTTTAAATGAACAGCCTCATGAAATATTCATTTTTAAAGAAAAAGAAATTAAATAAATAAAAAAGAAGAAAAAACTAACTACTTCTTCACTAAGCTAGCTGGTCTATATTTTGACCAGACCCTTTTTCAACCATTCTATTCAAACCTAACTCACCACCTTTACCACGCGTTTTCTCAACCAAATTATTAAAATGAAGCCTAATAATGAAGCTGCTATAGCTGCTGCTATAGAGAATTTAAAAATGGTGTTTTTCAATCTGAATGAGCTGCTGCTAAAGCATATAACATTCTATGAAGCATATTGAAGAGCAGAAAGAATGATTCCATTCAACAAGCAATTGCTCATCAACATCAATAAAAGTTGACTCCAGAGCAAGAGATCTTTCTAGTTTGATGGATAAAAGAGCAAGATTCACAAGGATTTTCACCCTTTCATGCGTGTGTATGAGAAATGGTGACTCAAATTCTTTAAATGAATTGAGATCCCACTCAGCTGGGTAAGAATTGAATTAGAAAGTTTCTAAAACAAAATCCTTTATAATAAGATCCATGTTGGCTGAAGGATTGAGTCTTAAGGAATAGAGAATACTCAGTAGAAAACAACTTCAGCAGTTCTATAACTACTTTTCTGAAACACAACAGACTTATGAGATAGTCATTGAAAATATATGAAATATGAATGAATATGACATTGCTTTAGAAGTATGTATGAATATCAAAGCACTTGCTGAGCAAAGAAAAGATAAAATCTATATTAAATCTCCCTCTAATCACAAGTGAGTTTCAATTCTTGAAGCTATTAGTGCTGATGAGCACTATATAGACTCTCTAATCATTTTTTGAGGTTAAAATGCATAATTTAGCTGATTTGAGAATGTGAATATACTCAATTGAACCTATACAACATCAGATGATGAATGGATATTAAATAATATATATCTCAACTGATTAAATATGATTTTTCTATCTCAAATGTTTAAGAAAGATCTGTATAGATTATTAGTACTAGATGATCATAGCAGTCATATCACTATCAAATTTCTAAAAGAATGTTATATAAATTTGATTCATTTAGTATTTCTATCTGCTTACACATCTCATATTCTTCAGCCATTGAATCTTGAAGTGTTTTCACCCATGAAGAGCTACTATAGAGCTGAGATCATTGTCTTAAGCTATCTGAATGATGCAACTTCTATGAAGAAAAGAAGATTTATATAAGTTTATGAACAAGCATATTTAAAGACCTTAGAATTTTATAATATACATGAAAAGTGGAAAGCAGCCGATCTAATATCATTTAATTCTTTCAAGAGACTAGATTTCTTTCAGATTTGAGATCAGAGTCAATTTAATTCTAAATTAGTGATATCTACAACCTCTCTATCTTCTGAACTGCAAGATCTTTTGCTTATAACTCTCTGAGATTCTAGACATATATATAAGACTTTGTAGCAGTTGAATAAAAAGAGAATTCTTATAAAAGAGCAGCAAATTTTTCTTTGCAAAGCTAGTAAAATGATTAATGAATTGAATGCTCTACAAGCTGTTAGGCAGTTTATAATTTTTAAACTCTTTAATTAACTAAAGACTCTACAGCAGTCAAAAACTAAAAAGAATTAAAAAAATTTAAGAGAAAGCTACTACTCTAGAGACTAGAAAATAACTATAAAAGTTAAAAATTGAGACTAAAAAAACAACAGCAGCAGCTTTAGTAGCAGATCTGAAAGTCTGCATATTTGAATAACAATTAGATTGAATTTATACTTAAATATTTACTCAAATAGAAAGAGTGATTACTTTGAATAGAGTGATTGAAAAAGAATCTGATCAAAATATAGATTGACTAGCTTATATCAATTATTATTTATAATTAATTAATAATTTTACTTCTTTATAATATTAATTAATAGTTGATTAGAACTTCTCATATGAAATTTATAAAATAAAAATGAAATTAATAAGCAATAATAGCAAAGTTATTATTTTGAATTTTTTTTAATATTTATAACTAGTTAATTAATTAATTATTAAAATTATTTTAATAATCATTAGTAATAAATTGTAAAAAATAATAAAATATATAAATTATTAATATATTTATAATTATTAATATTTTATTATTTAAAATAAATAGAAATTATAAAAATTAAATAAAAATAATTAATTAAATTTAAATTTAATTAAAACTTAGATATTATTTTTATAAATATTTTATATAAATTTTAACTTAAAAAATAAAATAATAAAATATAATTTTTAAAATAAATAAAATTTTTAATTTTATATATATATATAAAATAGATATTTATAATTAAATTATTTAAAAAATAAATATTAAATATAGTTTTTTTATTTAATATTAAATTAAATTTTTAATTTTTAATTATATAAAATAAATAAAATTTTTATTTAAGTTATATTAATAAATATTAAAGTTTAAAAATTATTTTATTTTATATATTTTTTTATTACTATTATTTTTTATTATTATTAATATATTAAAAAATTAAAATTTTTAATATATTTATTTTTTTTAATTAATATTTTTTTATAATTTAATTAATTTTTTAAAATTAAAATTAAAAATAGTTTTAAATAAAAACCTTTTTAAAATATAATAAAATATTTAAATTTTATAATATTTAAATAAGAATTAAAAATATAATTAATAAAAATATAATTTTATTATTAACTTATAATACTTAATGTAAATAATATAAAATTTAAATATAAAAAAGTTTAATTTTAAAAATTAATATTATATTTATATAAAAACTTTATTAATTTTATTTTATTTAATTTTATTAAATATTTTTCTTTTTATATTATTATTATTATTATTATTATTTTA